AGCGAAACAGTAAGTGTTTCCCGAGAGACACTGTTCTTCATACTCTTCTGCAAGTTTATTTGATGCATTGGAAATATATGCAGTTGTTTTCTGTGCAGACTTTTATTTTGGGTTTTAAATATGTCAATATAAATATATTATATAAATAAATAAATAAATAAATAAATATATATATATATATATATATATATATATATATATATATATATATATATATATATATATATATTTATTTATTTATTTATTTAATTATATATATTTATTTATTTAATTATATATATATATATATATATATATATAAAATGTATATATAATATAAAATGTAAATATCAGCTGTTACATTTTATTTTGGGAAAAGCTAAAACATCTTTAATAAATTATAATAAATCAAATGGCTAGAAAAATCAATATTACACTGAAAATATGTCCATAAAATAGGAGTTTTCAGTATTTTTTGACTTGTGCTTTTAATTTTTCCCATTTATATCTGCTTTAGTTGATCTTGATCTTTCCTCCAACAACTTTTAACCTTGAAAAAGTGACATTTGATGTAGTTTACACTACAGAAACCTTGTAATGAACTGCAGCTTTGGGTTGCGAGGTCATCAACTCCTCCAGAAGCTGCGGCTGGATGATCTGTTTTAAAGAGAGCAGATTTCTTCAGCACATTTCTAATCATAAAAGTTTTAATAACTCATCTTTTATAACTGATTTACTTTCTCTTCATCATGATGACAGCACATAATAGTGCTGAACGATATGTGTGTATCCATATCGCAATGTGTGTATCTGCAACAGCCACATCACAGGATAGAGGTAAAGTTGGTTTTATATTGGCACATTGGTTCATTTAGCAGTCTCTATATTGTTTAGCATGTTACTCTGAATATTGGATCTGAATTAGCATGCAAGTATGACTTGTAAACAACATTAACACTGTCTAATTGACTGTGAACAATGCTGTACTTTGATAGTCATTTGCTGCTAATATCATTTCCCTATTTACAATACTTTTCTGACATTATATTATTAAGGAGAATGTCTGAATATCCCAATATACAACCAACTTCACCTCTATTATCACAGGATTAGATTATTTACATTTAAATTAAATTATTTATGCAATAATCACAAAGTTATTTTACATTTGGCTGTTTAATATCTGCACATGAATAGCACTAGACTTCCTAGTAAACCATAAAGAACTGTTAATTTATTTATTTTTGCTTATAATTTATGCAGATGCTCTACAGAGAAAAAGGTTTGATCCTCCAAGTCCATCTAAATTAATAAAATCTGTCCAAATAGAGCTGCTCAATTCATCTGCTGAAATTAGATTTATATCACAACACACAGTATATTGCAGGAAAACAAAATATTGAAATGTCAGATTTTTACATATTATACATACATATTATGTACTAAACATACATACAGCACATAATATTAGACTAGATGTTCTTCAAGACACTAGTGTTCAGCTTACAGTGACATGTAAAGGCTTCACTAGGGTAATTAGGGTAAAGTTAGGGTAATTAGGCAAGTCATTGTATAACAGTGGTTTGTTCTGGAGACAATCCAACACTAATATTGCTGAAGGGGCGAATAATATTGAGCTTAACATGACTTTAACACTATTAAACACTGCTTTTATTCCTGCCCAAATAAAACAAATAGGACTTTCTCCAGAAGAACAAACATTAGAGGAAACACTGTGAACAACTCCTCAATCTGAGAAACATCATCTGGAAACAAAATCACAGTAAGGTGAATAATTGTGACGTGAACGGTACACTCAAGCAGAGTAAGTCACACTCACAGCACAAAAGACTATTGACATTCTCATTAGAGACAGCACTGAAGAGCTGCATGCAAACACAGCACTCCCCTTTACACCTGCCAATAACTCCGACTCTGCTGAGTAAATACAGATTGATGCTCTTAAAGATCTCTGGACGAGGACAGACAGAGAGCTCTTTTCTTCCTCTCCTCCTCCTGTTGGCAGCGTTTCCAGCCGATCATCCATTTATTTTCCTCTTCTGACACACACACACACACACACACACACACACACACACACACACACAAAGACATCTGCCTGAGCAAAAGCTGTGCATGATGAATGAATGGCCTGATATCTGGACTTCATAGTTTGTTTTGTTTTTAAATGGCATACATAATAAACCCAAGGTATAAACACTTTCCAATGCAAATAAATATTGTACACTGTATGCCAAGCTTATCTTCAAAAAGATAATAAAAAAGTAGTTATAATAAATATAATAAAATAACAATAACAATGAGTAAATAAATAAATGAATAATATAAGACAGAAGAAATTCATTCATTTTCCTTCTGCTTAGTCTCTATTTCAGAAGTCGCCAGAGCGGAATGAACCGTCAACTATTCCAGCATATGTTTTACACAGTGGATACCCTTCTAGCTGCAATCCATTACTGTGAAACACCCAAACACACTCATTCACACACACACACTCATACACTACGGCCAGTGTAGTTGATCAGTTCCCCTATAGCGCATGTGTTTGGACTGTGGGGGAAACCGGAGCACCCGGAGGAAACCCACACCAACACAGGGAGAACATGCAAACTCCACACAGAAACACACACTGACCCAGCCGAGACTCAAACCAGTGACCTTCTGGCTGTAAGTCCCCCCTCACAAATCTCTTTTGAATTCATATTTTTACCAAATTTTAAAAAGAGGAAAAATCAAGAGAAACATAAAAAAAATTGGGAAAAATTAAGTTTATTTTGCAATGTTCAGCTTGAATTTAATCAATCATATTATCTTTCAATTTCTAAATATGTCTGGTGACTAAAATCTTATTGTAATAAATATATCTGTTAAATAAATCTGTTCTGTTTAAATGCACTAGAATACACTGCCTATATTCACTGAGAAATGGAGAAACATTCATTTTCAAAATGGGCTGTACTCAATTATGCTGAGCGCTGAATATTGTCTGTTTATTAAATTCATTTTCTGATTATGTGCATTTTTATTTTTTTTAAAAGAAGAAATAAATAGACAAAATACGAGGAGGACATGCCAAAATGAATGTGCACTGAATGTGCTTTAAGAATAAATCAGATATGTTAAGTCTCTCACCAAGTCTATATCAAATTGATCAAAAGTACAGTAAACATCAATATTAGCTAAATTAACATCTAACCATTTTCTGTGGAAATACATGAGCACTGCATATATAAGGTCACAAGCAATTTATAAGCATTTAACTACACATGTATGCCTTTATATGTGACAAAAGACCCTTTAATTTCAATTTAAAGTAAACAAATCTTTCTAAAAACAAATCCGACTGAGCACAAAGCTTGAAACACAGACACTACACCTACTAAACTGAAAACACTTCTACATATCAAGCCAGACCTCTAACTCTCAGCACACACAACCCAAACGTCTGTCTAAATCTTCAAAGATCAGACATGAAAACACACGCTCAGCGCACAGGACAGCTCATTCACGGAGAAATCTCTTATTCACTGCACTTATATGATATGCAAAATAAATCAGCAGTCATTCTGGCGACTCAAGTGCACGCAGATGTGATCAGCTCAACAATCACACACTGAGAAAAATCTACATTCACACACACACACACACTTTACACGTTTAAATGTCCGTGTAAATCACATCCAGCAGGAATGTACAGTGTGTCAGTATTACGACACTGCTGTGTTTTGCTTTGCAACAGCAGAGATGATGGCGCAGTTACTCACACGATCATGATATAAAGAGGAACATCATCATGTTTACATCAAGAAAAACACACTTCCCTTTGCTTTTTTAACAAAACTGCATGCATTTACACACGTTTATCAACCATGAATTCTGTTCTCCACACTAACATTTTTATTTCATCATAAGAAATTCAAACATCCTGGATGAAAATGTCAGTCACACTAGCTGTGTGTAAATCAGCCGGTGTTGATGCGCATGTTAAATCCCCATAAAAATCTAAATTTAATAAAAAAATATCATTAGAGTTGGAACTAGGGCTGTCAACACACTGGAATTCGATACCAGTCGGTACTGACATTTTTAAAACCTCCATTTCCTGCTAACATTTAATCGTGCATTCTTAACCAGCGCTGATTTGCCATTGTGTTCACGTGCTCAACAGAACTGACTGTGATTGGCTGTGAAGGTCATCAGTTCACTAAACTCACCGCTGTTAACCACAGACGCAGGGACACTAGAGCGTTTTAGAGCCGCCATTCATCAGCGGATCGCACGTGTGTCAGCTTATAGACAAACCAGCTGATCAACGTGACTTTGAAACGCATATAAGCTCAATACAAACCCGTGCTGACGTGTGTGACCATTACGCTTGTGTCTTTTAAAGCAGCATGCTCGTGATCTTAAACATTCACACACAGCACAGCTCATTACTGTCAGTTCCATAGCAGTGGACCAATCAGAAGAGCTCGGAGGCGGGGCAACCGCTGTGAGCTTCTGTTTATAATAGATAGTTGGCATGACAACTGTTTTATTCACCGTTATATCATGGCAGAGGCGCTCATTGAGCCTTTGTCCAGAATATCTTGAGCAATTTGGAGAGGATAAACATTCTGTGTACCCTTCCATGATGTTGTTGTGTCCTGCGAAATGTCCATTTCTGGCACAATTCACACTCCATAATTTGCATCCACACATTTTATTTCATTAAATACTCCGGACAGGCTAATCTAAAACCAACGTACACCACATTATACACCACCTACAGTTATTATTGTGAATTATTCTTCATAATAAGCAGCCTTTTGTGACAACAATCCCTGCTACAGATAAACACCGCGTTTTAAACCTTTCCGTGATGTCGTATCGTGCGAAATGTCCATTTTTGGCACAGCTCGCACTCCATAATCTGCGTCCACACATAAAATCCTCGCTAATTTCGTGAAACACCGCTGTAGAGTGAAGCGTGTGGGTCTCCAGCACGGGTTTTCTCTTACCTGAGCAGACTGGAGAGCGTGTGGGAAGAGCTGTGTCCGCCAGTACCGACATTCCCGGAGGATCCCGCTCCACCGGCGGAGCCCGACCCGGCCGACTGCCGCTTCCCGGACAGGAGCTTCTCAACGGCGGCCAGATTCCCAGTGCGCGCCGCCTCCAGCAGCTCCTGCTCCTTCCCCATCCCTCGGCGGAGAGGCAGACGATCACACGGACACACGGATCCACCGCAGCCCCAAACCACATCCACCCGCCGCTCGACGCGTTTTATCGGCTGGTGAGCTCCGGTGCAGCAGCGGCGGCTCCGTCTGGATTCTTCCCGCTCCAAGCGCCTCAGCTCCGGGGAAACTTTCTCTCCCAGCGCCCGCACAAACTTCCTCTGGCTCCGCTCGACACGTCACTTCCTGACGGGCGCGCTCCTTGGTGACGTCGCGCGAGAATTATAATTATTATGCACAATCATTTAATTACACTAATGACGCATTTAGGGGATTGAAATATATTTATGTGTAAAGTCCAGAAGGGATACAGCTGCGGTTCTTACATCAATACAGCACCGTACAACAATCATCAATATTTCTACATCACTGTGAGGGGGGGATGTTAATAAAATACAACTAAATGGATAATTTAATAATTAAATGAATAATACTCGGTATAATTACTGTTTTACATTATTTTGGAGGGTTGGGGTAATGGTAGATGTTAATAAAATACAATTGAATGGGTAATTTAATAAATAATAGGTGTAATGCTCGGTATAATTATTGTTTTACATTACTGTGAGGGTTGGTGTAGGGGTGGACATTAATAAAGACAATTAATAAACAATTTAATAAATAATATCACTAATTCTGAGCCATATATCCCTTCAAGCTTTATGTGGAGTATCCTGATATTAGCACAAGAAGAATCTGTGACTGTTAATCGGGGATTTGTGGAATAATTACAGCCCTTTTCAGGAGTTTCTTTAAACTGAATCACTATAATGATGTGCACTTTTTAATATTATTGCATATCTTTTTCTACTCAAGATAATAATACTGTAATTATGTTTATTTTAGTGTTTTATTTACTTTTGTTTCATCTATATTTTATTGTTAATTTTAAACTGATTCGTCTGTTTGAATGTGATGTCCATTTACTGATTTATTTATTATTCATTCATTCTTTTATGTTCCTTTGCCTTAGTCACTTTATTCATCAGGGGTCGCCACAGCGGAATGAACCACCAATGATTCCAGCATATGTTTTACACAACGGATGCCTTTACAGCTGCAACCCATCACTGGAAATTATCCATACACACTCATTCACACACATTTTTTAATAAAAATAACCCTGGGTATAATTACTGTTTACACAATATTGTATACATTATATCAGTTCCCCTATAGCGCATGTGTTTGGACTGTGGGGGAAACCGGAGCACCCGGAGGAAACCCACACCAACACGGGGAGAACATGCAAACTCCACACAGAAACACCAACTGACCCAGCCGAGACTCAAACCAGAGACCTTTTTGCTGTGAGGCCACAGTTCGTATGAATTATGCGTATTATTATTGTTATTAATAGTGGCTTGAAAATTAGGTTTCAAGTAGTCAAAATCATTTTAATCAATTTTAAAATAAAAGAAACAATTTGACTTATGTAACCTGACCATGCTAAAATAATCAGTGCAAATATCTATTATTTGCATTGTATATATTAAATTATATTTATTATTAAAATGAAACAAATAAGTAATTAATATTTGATTAAAATAAATAAATAAATGGGCAATATATTCAAACAAACAAATCAGTGAAAAATAAAAAAATACATTTACTCAAGTTAATAAAATAAAAAAGTAAACAAATACTCCTTATGGACATTTTAGGTACATATCGTTTAGTTGAAATGGGATAATTTGAAATAACATCATTAATTAGCCTATTATTATTATTATTATTTAAATATAAGCATAAAATTTTAACTATATGCAAGGGGTACATTTAAATAATTAAATGTGATTTAATCATTTGTGAATATCTATCAAATAAATATATAATTATGAATAATTAAAGGGTTTCTGCAATTAAACTAAAAGCTCGAGTGAATTTTGATGGATTAAATCAGTTATTAGTCCCTGTTTGTTTGTTTGTTTGTTTGTTTGTTTGTTTGTTTGTTTGTTTGTTTGTTTGTTTGTTTGTTTGTAACTGTAAGCACAGTGTTTATGTTTCAACTATTTATAATGTTTAAAGTGGCTGACAATAATAAATATTCGTATTAATAGGAATTAATCTGCCTTGTTTTTGAACTGTGCAGAGCTGCTTCATTGGGCCTACTACACTTCTGCATTTCAGTACTGCTCCTTATGGTGGTTCTTGAAGAGACATTTTTTCTGAGGTGGTCCTTGATGAAAGAAATCTGAGAACCGCTGCTTTAATGTATAGTATTGTGCGCCACCAAGTGTTTGACGTGGCTGTGCACGCTTGTGCGGACTCTTATTTTGTAGTTTAACCGGATATGCTCGTGTTTACTTTGTCGGTCTGAGGCGCTCGTCAGAGAACACTCGTTGGATTTTTGTGTTTTTAAACATTATTTTCAACGCGGTTGTCGGTCTTAGGTATGTTTTGATTTTTTTTATGAATTCACGGTTTTATTTTGTCTAACAAGTGTTAAATCCGGCCCCAAATACACATAGCATCGTAAGTTACGATGATCGTTAAGTTACCGTTTTCACCTAAAGTAAACTATCATTACATTGAAGATGACCGAGTGTAACGTTAATACAGCTAATGCACATTAGATAGAGCCCTGTTTAATCGCGTTGTTTACGATCAATAACAATGATATATGGGGACTTAATGGATATTTAGAGGTAAAGTAGGTTTTATATCCGCACACTGGTGCATTTAGCAGTCTCTATATTGTTTAGCATGTTACTCTGAATATTGGATCTGAATTAGCATGCAAGTATGACTTGTAAACAACATTAACACTGTCTAATTGACTGTGAACAATGCTGTACTTTGATAGTCATTTGCTGCTAATATCATTTCCCTATTTACAATACTTTTCTGACATTATATTGAGGAGAATGTCTGAATATCAGAATATACAACCAACTTCACCTCTATATGTTTTATAGAAGACACAGACTAAATTATAAACTGTAATGACAGTATTGACATTGTAAGCAACAGTTCACCCTAAAATTACAATTCTGTCATCATTTACTCTTGCTTTACTTGTTTTAAACCTTTATGAGTTTCTTTCTTCTGTTGAACACAAAAGAAGATGTTTTGAAGAATGCTAGAAGCCGGTAACCGCTGACTTCTGTAGGGTTTGTTTTTCCTATTATAAGTCAATGGTTGCCTGTTTACACATTTTTTCCCCTTAAATGTTCCTTAAATCTTTTTCTTAATTTTGTAAACCAACAACAAATTGCTCTCTCTTTTCAAAGATTGTATATTATATAATTAAATATTAAAATCAAATAAATAATCATTTGATTAGAATAATTAATTAAATACATGTGCATTAAAATTATATATGTATATATATATATATATATATATATATATATATATATATATATATAAACATTTTTTAAAAATTGTAATGAATGGTTGCTCTCTTTTTTTGTAATATGACAATTTGTTCTACATAATTGCTTTTTGTAATCTTTGTAATTTTTTTTTACATTCAATAGTATTCATCCAGAGTAATTCTTACAAAAAAAAAAAAATATATATATATATATATATATATATATATATATTGCAATCATGAAACACAAGCAAGGCTTCTTGAGATATTTTAGATATTTGGACTAGAAACAGACACTCTGAGTTAGAACAGTGTTATTGCAGTGCTCAGTTGTAATTGGATCAGGGACTCCCGCTCATGTGTTGCAGATAAACACACTACAGCAGTGTCCATTATTTCCACATTCCCTTTCCCTGATCCATCAGCTGAAATCATGGCAGACCCGGCCCGTGTGAAACCTGAAGCGGGCACATCGGTGGACAGACCCAAACCGGGCGAGGGGTCCAGTGAGGGTCCGGAGGGCAGCAGTAAGAGCTCTGACCCTGCTGCGGGACAGACTGCTGTAAAAGAGGAGGGCAAGACGCTCAGTCAGGTCTCTGCCTCTTCATTCTGCATCCTCAATGAATTCAGTTTCATTCTCATGCAAATAAATCAACCATGCATCACTGTGTTCCTCAGAGGCCTGCTGAAGATGCTGGTGATGAAGAGGAGGAGGGATCTTCATCTCTGCATCCTCCTCCTGCCAAAAAGCTGAAAGTGGAGCCGCACGACAAGAAGAAGGAGAAACGCCACAAAGTGGATGAAGACGAAATCCAGAAGATGCAGTGAGCTGTGTGTGTGTGTGTGTGTGTGTGTGTGTGTTGTGTGTGTGTGTGTGTAGCTGTAAACTGATAATAACACTAATAGACGTGTTTGTGTTTCAGAGTTTTAGTATCATCGTTCTCTGAAGAGCAGCTGAACCGCTATGAGATGTACAGGCGCTCGGCGTTCCCTAAGGCAGCTATTAAAAGAGTGAGTCTTTAAATTAAAAACAGGTCTTAAAAAGAATTCAGAGTTGATCAATCTGTTTAGAGAAAGTATTAAAGTCTTTTACAGCTGGTAAATATTGTGTCTGTTTGGATTATTCAGTGTGTGGCTGTCTGCCTAAGTTTAATTTGTGAATATTGGGCAACATGGTGTTGCAGTGGGTAGCATAATCGCCTCACAGTAAGAAGGTCACTGGTTTGAGTCTTAGCTGGGTCAGTTGGTGTTTCTGTGTGGAGTTTGCATGTTCTCCCCGTGTTGGCGTGGGTTTCCTCCAGGTGCTCCAGTCCAAACACATGCGCTATAGGGGAACTGATTGTAGTGTATGCGTGTGTGTGTGTGTGAATGAGTGTGTATGGATGTTTCCCAGTGATGGGTTGCTGAATACATATGCTGAAAAAGTTGGCGGTTCATTCCGCTGTGGCGAGCCCTGATTAATAAAGGGACAAAGCTGAAAAGAAAATGGCAGCATTGTTATTCCTGCAAGAAGGTCTCTGGTTTGAGTCTCGGCTGGTTCAGTTGGGGCTTCTGTGTGGAGTTTGCATGTTCTCCCGGCATTCGTGTGGGTTTTCTTCAGGTGCTCCGGTTTCCCCCACAGTCCAAACACACGCGCTATAGGGGAATTGGGTGGGCTAAATTGTATGTAATGTGAATGAGTGTGTAAGAGTGTTTCCCAGATATGGGTTGCAGCTGGAAGGGCATCCGCTGCGTAAAACATATGCTGGATAAGTTGTCGGTTCATTCCACTGTGGCGACCCCGGATTAATAAAGAGACTAAGCTGAAAAGAAACTGAATGTTATTCCTGCTGGTCTACAGGCGCCCCCTGCTGGAAGTCCATCAATTCTTTCATATTGAGTGTGAGTGATGCATTAGTTTAGGCGCAGGCGTGTCATGTAGCATCATTTCACTGAAACAGATCATCATTTTTAATGATTCAGGCTGTTTTTATATCATTAACTGCCCACACTAATGTTGATTAAATCTTTGTGTGGATGATGATGAAAGAACAGTTGTAGCCTGTGATGGAGCAAATAAACAGATCACTCCCACCGTTCTGAATTATCTTGCATTGAAAAGCGAGTTAGCACCAGCTAAGACTCTTTAGTTATGCGTAACTGCACAGTCTGTGTTTGGTAACTATACTGTACGCTAAAATGTGCTCAATATTACTGGTTAGAACGAATCAATTCTTCAATCGAGAAGCGTTTTCTAGACAAGAATCAAACATTTTCAGAAATAATGAGTCAAAATGAAGTGAGTTTTTCATTAAAACAAGCAGAGTAATCTTGTGTCAAAAGGCAAAACAAGATTATTTCGCTCACTCCTTTGATTTGCAGACTGTTTTGCTTGTTTTAACTTCATTTTGACTCGTTTGTTTGTACAAGACGTGAGTTGAATGCACTATATACACCATTATACCTCAAAATAGCACAGAATAGTGCATGAGCGTGTGATTATCGATGCATCTTCTTTGTCTTGGAGTTAAACAGATTTCTTTCTGTCCTCCAGCTGATTCAGTCCATCACCGGATCATCGGTCTCTCAAAACGTGGTCATCGCCATGTCCGGAATCGCCAAAGTGTTTGCTGGAGAGATTGTTGAAGAAGGTTAGTGACACGCTGCTCTGCAGACACTCTTATTTGTCTTGTTTCTAGTCCAAAAGCTAAAGCTCAAACTCTTCACCTCAATCTGTGTTCAGTAAATGTGCTGTAAGATATAATGTGGTCAGTTCAAACTAACCATCAAGACTTTCAGACAGTGTGAGACTGATAACGGCAGCCAGAGGAGAGAATACTGTCAGATTACCTGTCCTGCATTACACACACCTCACACACACACGCGGGAGTTCAGTTACTGATGCGCAGATGACATAACGCATAGAGAAACACATATAAATGTGCACACCTTTACAAATATTCTTAATATTTAAAACGTTCACGTATTTAAGATGCTGATGAGCGTTAAACACATCATTACAGTGCTGTGAAGAGCTCCATGACGCTCTGCTGATCGTCTCCGTGATGCATTTCTCTTGCTTGTCTTCAGCTCTGGATGTGTGTGAGAAGTGGGGGGACACTCCACCTCTGCAGCCCAAACACATGAGGGAAGCCGTGCGGAGACTGAAGAGCCGAGAGCAGATTCCCAGCTCCAAACACAAACACATCCTCTTCCACTGAACAGCATCACGGAGAAACAGGACTGGACATCTCTCCGCTGTAAACAGTAATGATGATGTAGAAAAGAGGATTTGTTTTATTATTATTATTATTATTATTATGAAATACTTTGTTGCCTAATGTTGGTTTAGTTTTGATGCCGTGTGTGTTTTGGAAAGCACATCTAATGTTATCTCCTCATGTTTTGATGAAAGAATGTGAAATTAAATGTTTGTACTAAACCCTGCAGTTCTTCACTCTTATTAGGATGAGGATTATTTCAATATTAGGACTGGGTGAAGCAGACTCAGACTAAAAGGCAGCAAACATAAAGACATCAGGCAAAGAAAAGGAATCAGATGTCGGGTGGAGTGCGGCGTGTCCCACCCTACGTGACGTCACGCGACTCAGAACAAGCAGTGGTGTAATACAGTGGTGGGAGTCGCTTGGTGATTTAAAAAACTCAAATAAATGTTACTGAACTATTATGATGACCATATTTTATCCATAACCTACAGAAGATACAAATAGCCGTTTTTAATAGTAAACAACAACATGCAAATGATTAGCCCTCAGCCTTTACATGATCTTCACAGGATCAGTGTGTTTACATTGGATCATCCACACAGCACTCGCGTCAGCTGCAGCAGATTTTACAGCACCGCGATAAACTTTCTGACACCTTTATGGCACTGGAGTACATTAAAAATAACTACAGACCACAACTGAACACTGAGGATGATCTCTGAGTGCCGGTCTCCGAAATTAAACCAAGAATAGACTTGTGCTGAACACAGAGAGTGATATGCAATAAAAGCCCCGTCTACTCCATATTCAGTCTCAACTGAGAGCACATCAACACACTGAGATAAAAGCCTCGGCAGCTTCTGATTCACCATGACTTCTCAAGTCACCATGAGCCAGATGTTGCTGCATACTTTATTACGGTGAATGTAAGTGTTTCAGTAGTGTTGTGTGTGTGTGTCACCAATGGTTTGATGCTGAAATCTTGTGCGGTGTGTTGTTAGGAGCTAGGTACACTCAGAACACACTCCGTTTGTATATGAACACTCAGAGTTCCAGCGGTTTCATGAACAGCAGATTCTGGGACTTTTTAAAGCATTCATTTTAAATCAAGCACCTCCGCGCTTCACACTGCCAGCATATGCAGCGCCATGGAAGACCTCACTGTACCTAATATTTCACTCACACTTAATATTTACATTAAAATAGCAATGATCAGGATACATTCGTTCATTTTCCTTCAGCTGAGTCCCTTATTTATCAGGGGTCACCACAGCGGAATGAACTGTCAACTATTCCAGCATATGTTTTACACAGCGGATGGCCTTCCTGATGCAATCCAGTACTGGGAAACACCCATACACCCTCATTCACACACACACTCATACACTACGGCCAGTGTAGTTGATCAGTTCCCCTATAGCGCATGTGTTTGGACTGTGGGGGGAGTTCTTGTGTAAGATGTAAGTGTAAGGTTTATAAATGAAGAATTTCTCGTTTGTTTTTGGTTCATTTTCTGAAAGCAGAACAGCACAATTGTTGAAATAACATCATAAACGTTAAACTCAAGCACCTCTGTTTGTTTTTAAGCTCTTCCCATGCCTTGAATTCACATGTGTGAAACTTGAAGCACTTTCAAGACTCATGGGAACCCAGAACACTTGGTTTTATCAAAACATGCAACCGTTGTTTGATAAAAGAAATGCATTTTTAACCTTTAAGAAACATTTTATTGATAATAATCATTGATCTTGACATATTTCCACACAGTTATGGTTCACAGAACCAACAAAATATCAGCTTTGTTTGAATGTTTTGTTCCAGGTGGTGAGATAAAGCATGAGAGAAGACTAAAACACAGTAATGAAGCGATCACAGGTCTAAATAAACCTCAGAGAAGCAACACCATGAGGGAAAACCCCAACTCAGACTTACAGAAAACGTCCTGTAATCCTACATTTCCACACTTTCTGCTGCCCTAAACATTGATCTGCTCTAATTTACTATGACCTTTTATGTGAAGCTGCTTTGACACCATCTACATTGTAAAAGCGCTGTACAAATAAAAGTGAACTGAATTGAATTGATCTGGGCGACTAATCAGATTTTCTTCATCTCAGATGTTCTCTAGAAACTCGTTTTGACAGCTGTGTTTCCATCCTAACATGCAAATAGATGCAAATTATGCGCAAAACTGCAATATTGCTTAAAATATCCGTGAATAAATGTTAGCGGTTAAAAACTAAATCACATCACGCATACTGATGAAGCTCAGAGTTTATCTGCATTTATTCTCAGCAAATAAAACCTTTTATCCTGGTAATTATGCGCATATGTTTTATATGAATGTTTTCCAAATTTATAGACATCTTGGCATCTATATGAAGCACATTTTACGTTATAAGTGAAGTTTATTTATAAGCTAATTTCAGAGGATCTCGTGCTTATGATTGACCACAGCCGGTCCCTCATTATCCTGTTCATGATTGACCAATCAGACGATCCCTAAGTCACTACAAATACCCTGAGCTCCATATCACAGCCATCTTGGTTTTGAAGAGTCCCCCCTTCCACCCCTACAGTTTATGTGCATTTTTATTTTTATCAAATACAACCTTTTATCCTACTAGTTGTGCACATGTTTTTATGCACGTTTTCCAAGTTTATAGACATCTATATTAAGCTGTTTTTGCACAATAATCATTGCTGGATGGAAACACAGCTACTGCAGATTCACATTAGTTGATGAATCTGATGTTAATCTTCAAGTTGGTGTTAAAATGACCGACTTTGGTATCTAATCTGAGCAGATCTGTTCTGAAACATTAAACTAGTGTGAGCATTACTGAGAAATATTAACTAAACAATCATCCAACAAATCATTCAGTTCATCAGCGCACACACACACACACACGTCAATTTAGTACCAAACACACAGTTAAAAACAGCACAGTTAGTCAAATCAGAACAAACAGCACTCGCTCTGATCCCTCATCTACAGTTAAAGTCCTCAAATAAAGCTTCCACATTAATGATGATGATGATGATGATGCACTTGTGAGAGAATTCAAGTAAACTCATGCATAAAACACAGAGGTCGTTTTCTTCCATGCACTGAATGAAGTTGTTTTTGTATTATTAATTCTACACTAACATCTACTGAGAATGTCTTCATACGACTGTAACCCACAGGAGTCTGGAAGACACAAGAGTCTAAATACACCAACAGAGAGAGCTTAGTGTATCTGAACGCTACACATTTGACTGACAGCTGAAGCACAGACACGCTCCAGGTCTTAAACACCTTCAAAATTAAAGCACCTCTACATTTAAAGCAATCACTTTGTCCCATTTTGATGCTTGCTGATAGATCGGTCCAGATGTGCACCGCAAACAGCGCTGTTCTCATCTACACACTCATACATCAAGAAGCATTTGTAGACGGGAATAAAATACTGTCTTGCTTTCAAAAATAATGAGTCAAAATAAAGAGAGTTTCTCATTAAAACATGCAGAATAATCTGACAGTGGGGGAGGCGGAATAATCTTGTTTTTCCTTTTGACAAAAATTAATATAAAAAAAAATTATATAAAATAAAAAATAAAATAGAATAAAAAACTAAATTTAGTACAAATAAATAAAAAATATTATAAAATAAAATAAATGTCCATTTCTGACACTGAGGAAAACCATCATGCTTTGGTGAATCAAAAACTGAGACACACACAAGCCATAAAAACAAAATCACAATGAAAAAATTATGATAATACAATTAAAAACTGGCCAAAGTTAATTACATTAACTAAGATTATTACATTATAGTCATAGCCATGAATGAAGCGATGACAATTATAACTAAAAAAGCCTAAATTAAAAGAGAAGCTCAAGTTTTTTTAAGATGAGCTGAAAGATGTATTGACTGATGTTACAACAAAAATCAAAGTTATGAACTAAAATAAAGTCAGCTTTTAACAATTAACAAAATGACAAGTAAACAGAGACGTTAACTCAACGTGATCATCTCGTCTCACCTGTTACGTATGACTTTTATTAACTCATCGATGATTTACCAAAGTGTGATTTGTTTTACTGCATTGTGGAAATGGACATCCGGGATGCTCACTTGTGACTAGTTTTCAATTTATAAAGCACAATCAATAAAATTAAACTTCTGATATGTGTTATTTTCCAAAAAAACAAACTAAAACAACTCTAAACATCATTCTCTCCAACATTGCTTAGTAAAAAACCTTAAAACACATCGCCTCAGAGCAAATCAATACTAACACACACTAGTTTTCCTCTACACACGAGTCTCAGAGTTGATGTAGTGTAACAGACTGCAGGAATACTGTCAATCAAAGAACTCTGAGGACAACACAACACATCTGGAGCTGTCTGAAGGCGTCAGACGACACACAGGTCAGTAATACTGAAGAAATGTGCGCAGCGGCTCATATGGCACTGATGCTCAGACATCTGTACACAAGCAGTTTAACCACCGGTGGGTTATAGTTACCAGACTATAGTACCACAGTAAACCTCAGAGGACGGCTGATCTTCACCACTGAGACAGTGCAGCAACAGCAATTCAGGAACACACACACACACACACATGCATGCACGCTAACACACGTACACACTCATGCTCACACATAAACATGCATACGCACACACACAAACACACGCATACATACACACTCACGTATACACACACTCGCACAAATGCAGGAACATTGTGATGTCTTGATCTGCAGACATGTCTTGACTATGGTGCAGTCACTACATCCACAGCTCTCTCCTGAAGCCTGTCCTCTGCTCTTGCCCTCCGCCAGCACTGCTTTACCCTTCAGATCAGGGGTTTACCAGCCACAGCAGTGATATGAAGTGTTCAGCTCACACTCTCAGCACTAATAACCCTGCTGAATCTGTGTTTCTCCATCCTGATATATTCCAGCTGGACACACTGTGGAGTGGCTCATCACAGTGAGCAGCGTCTCCAACAGCAGAGTTATCAGTGGAGCACCTTCAGTGTCTATACAGTCAGCTCACTGGGCTTCAGAACACAGCCCGTACGTCTAGCAGCACTACGAGGACAACACTCGCACACGTCTACGACATCTGACAGCTTCACAGAGTCTTGAGAACTATAACCAGTAATGTGCAAGAAGCTCACCGACCAGAAGCGGGCAGTGAAAGAGAGATAGAGAGAGAGAGAGAGTGTGTGTGTGTGTGTGTTTTATTTCTGACCTCAGATCAGATCTGTCACAATGAAAGTCTACTATACAGGAAGACTGTAGAGGATCATTAAAGGAACACTGCAGGAACACGGCTCATTTTACAGCTCTCCTACAGTTCAATCGTAATATGATAATGATAATTGTATTAATTACAAAACAAATTACATTTAATTAATGACTAAAAGGTGTAATAAAGTCAATGCTTTGAGGGATATTTAGTGTATTTTGACCTATAGTATCCTCTGATTATTATTTCAGCGGTTTCTCTACACTGTATAATATATATCCATGTCCATTCTGTATTTTGTCATTCATATTTTCATTTTTCTCCATTTGCGATGTCGTTTAATGATTGTTTTTTTCATGCATAAGCTAATTGGCACAATTATGCATCCATAATTAATATGATTTTTTATTTTCATTATTAACATTATTATTTATCCAAATCATCCAATAACTTCATATTATTATTATAAGATACAGATCAGAGGAAATCATTTCTCACTATTAAAGGGCTGACCCCTCCATACATCTTGTTTTGACGTCCTTCAGGGGATCAACCATTAAATAGGGGTGCAATTAATCCCCCCTGTAATACACATACAATTTAATTTGACCATTTTTAATTATAAGTATTATTTTGGGGGTTTCACCTTTATCATGATAGGACAGTAGAGATTTCAGACAGGAAAGCATTGGGAGCAGAGAGAGGGGAAGGATCGGGATAGACCTCGAGCAGAGAGCACGTCAGTGCTATATGTTGGTGCACAATACCACTAGCCTACTGGCGCAGACTAAATTTGACCATATTTAATCCATTCAGCCAATCTAGTTGAAGCACTTTTAGCTTAGCATAAATAATTGAATCGGATTAGACCATTAGCATCTCTCTCAAAAAACATCATTAAAATTAATAAGGTGATTTGTAAAATGAGCCTATTTCCCTAAAAAGTGCTCCTAGTGCTCCTTTAAGGCAGTGTTTCCCAGCCTTGTTCCTGGAGGCACACCAACACCTATTGTGGATGTCTGCCTTATCTGAGCCATTAGCTGCGTCCCAAATCGCATACTTATGCACTATTCTACGCCATTTTGTAGTATGAATAGTGCAAGTAGTGTGTTCACACTGAAAACTCTAATAATAATAAGTGCACTTTAATTACCCGGATGATGCACTCATTCAGCCGCTAAAGTGAAGTGTGTAGTGATGGACACGTCACGCACTCAACCACCGCAGGTTTGCTCACGTAGCAGAAGAGGCGGAGCTATCGGACGCACATGTTGGATAACTTTATTTATTTTGGATGTTGAGAGCAAAATTCTCCTACGAGAGTGATTATAGCGCCTCCTGATGGTGAATGCGGTTATACTCACAGCAGGTATTATTTGATAATTCGGTCATTTATTTCACTGATTTGGCGACCGTCAAACATCATCAGGGAAACGGTTTGAATTTCCGCTTAGTAAAAAAACATTAGTGTGCCATTTGGGACGCCACTACATACATATACTGTACTGTTGAGTGTGTAAGTGCATAAGTAGATAGTGCATGAATGCATAGTGTATAGTGTGCCATTTGGGACGCAGCCATTATCTTCAGGTTTTGGTCTCCTCTGATGTCCTGATGAGCTGATTCAGGTGTGTTTGATTAGGGAGAGGTTGAAAATGTGTGCTGTTGGTGTGTCTTCAGGAACAGGGTTGGGAAACATAATCTAAATATGAACAATATGGTAAAGTTAATGTGTGTCCCATGTTTAGATGATCTAAATAAACTAAAGGAAGGCTTGTGTATCTTCATGTGTATCTCGTAGTTTCCCAGCCCTGTTCCTGGAGGCACACCAGCAGCACATGTTGTGGATGTCTGTTATATCTGACTCAGTAACTTGAGGTTTTGGAGTCTCTTCAATTAGGGAGAGATTAAACATGTGTGAGGCAATGCAGTGGCGCAGTAGGTAGTGCTGTGGCCTCACAGCAAGAAGGTCTCTGATTCACGCCTCGGCTGGGTCAGTTGGTGTTTCTTTGTGGAGTTTTGGAGGTTGAAAATGTTTACTGTTAATGTGCCTTCGGGAACAGGGTCGGGAAACACTGCTTTAAGGTGCGGGAAGGGATGGATTATAACCTTCTAGTCAGCAAACGCATATGTGTCTTGTTCTTATTTACAAGATTATTTTCCTCCTGTGCCGCAGTGAGACTGACGTCTGCGTTTTTCCCTTTGTTCCTCATCATAAAGTGAAGGACGGGTTGTGTTTTCTGACTTCCTGAAGCAGACGCTCGCGCTCACACACAGCTTTATCCAGAGCCGACTGAACGTCAGCGAGTCTGGCCTCCAGAGACTGAAACAGAGAAACAGAAATGCTTTGAAACTTGTGTTCGATTCCATTGAAACAATCAAAGTCAAGTGCAAACAAACCCTAAGAGGAGATTTAAACAGCAGGTGCATTCGATACACCTTCATTCATGAATAATTAAGGAGGTCTGGGCTTCAGATGTGTAACTAAAATATCAAATGGCGCTGTCGGCATGCAAGAGTCTCCTCATGTTCTTAAGTGAAATCGTAGCTCTGGGAAAATCACGATCTCGAGCACTACACATGTGATTCACAGCTAGATTTGATGCTGAAACTGTCCTGATAGTCATTGGCTGATTGACCTGTTTAGAGTTTTCTGAGGTTATATTAAGGTGTAAGTGTGAATATAAAACCACTGTGATGAGTATGTTAATATCAGGATTAAACATGCGCATGGATAAATCATATCATACCTTGTTCCTCTCTCGGTCTCCAAGGCAGGATTGGTCTGCATTTTCTTTCTCAGCTCCTGATTGGCTCTGAGCTGCTGCATTTATAAGAGTGGAACAGGGATAATACACAAATACAGAAATAGAAATAAATCAATTAAATTCATTAAAAAACGTGTATATTTAAAGCTAAATATGATTCCACAATTCAATATTTGACAAATAAATTCAAATGGGTCCGGGTTATACCTGTTTTCATTATAATAATCTTATTAAACTTTCACATTCTAGTCAAATATGTGTTCTAGCTGAGCATATGGACCCTTTTGGTCAGTCTGTAACTCAAACCTAAAGCACTCACGTCTGAAGCGCAGCACTCCATCATCCAGACGCTCCAACACTACATTATCCAGAGAGAAGAGCACCGGGACGGGCTGAGGAGCGGTCGGGTACACACGAGGACCATCATCCTGACACAAACACAATGATAAACACAAGATAACTACTGCACCATCATTCAGAACAGAACACAGTAGCCGGGATGTAATGATGGACTGAGAGTCGGCTGAACACTCAGTCAGAAGTGTGATGATCAAAACTGATGGAGATGCCCAACAAATCATGCAGAATCACATCGGTTAAGGTAGTGGGCGGAGCTATCATACTTAACCACGCCCCTCCAGTGTCAGTTTTCTCAACAGACAGAATTGGTGAGGGGGAGGAGTCTGTAATAACCCTTTCCCCCCATCTTTCTGAATGACACGCCTACTTTACTACATCCAATCAGCTTGCAGTAGATAAACAAGCCACGCCCACTGTTTACTCATTTAATATTCATACAATTTGAAGCATAACGGAGTGTTGCACTCACCTTGAGAGTGACAGTGGTGTCCCGCAGGCAGACTCTGATGGGCTGGGGGTCTGCACTGAACTCATCCTCCAGGAAGGGCCCCAGCGTGTTCAATGTGGAGGCCAGCAGCTGAGCTCTGCACCCGCTCACACACACCTCCATGAAGCCCAGACTCTCAGACTGAGCGCAGTGTCTGCCCGCCGCAGGGCCTGACTCCAGTCTGAGGGACAGCACTGCTGGGGAACAAGAGGCAGAGCTGGGCCCTGGAGAGCCAGCAGCACTGGGGGACCACAAACCAGCTGAGAGAGAGAGAGAGAGACATGATCTATTATTAAAATACCCATGATGCCAATCTCCCGTTCCACCACATCCCAAAGCTGCTCTATTGGATTGAGCTCTGCTGACTGTGGAGGCCATTTGAGTACAGTGAACTCATCGTCATGTTCAGCAGTCTGAGATGATTGAGCTTTATGACATGCTGCGTTATCCTGCTGGAAGTAGCCATCAGAAGATGGAGACACTGTGCTCATAAAGGGATGGACATGGTCAGCAGCAATACTCAGGTAGGCTGTGGCGTTGATGCTCAATTGGTACTAGTGGACCCAAAGAAAATCTCCCCCACACCATTACACCACCACCACCAGCCTGAACCGCTGATACAAGGCAGGATGATCCATGCTTTCATGTTGTCTGAGCCGAGCATCCGAATGTGTCAGCAGAAATGGAGACTCATCAGAGCAGCAACGTTTCTCCAATCTTCTATTGTCCAGTTTTGGTGAGTCTGTGTGAATTGTAGCCTCAGTTTCCTGTTCTTAGCTGACAGGAGCGGCACCCGGTGTGCTCTTCTGCTGCTGTAGCCCATCCGCCTCAAGGTTGGACGTGTTGTGTGTTCAGAGATACTCTTCTGCAGAGCTCGGTTGTAGCGAGTGCTTATTTGAGTTACTGTTGCCTTTCTATCAGCTGGAACCAGTCTGGCCATTCTCCTCTGACCTCATCAACAAGGCATTCGCGCTCACAGAACTGCCACTCACTGGATATTTCCTCTTTGTCGGAGCATTCTCTGTAAACCCTAGAGATGGCTGTGCGTGAAAATCCCAGTAGATCAGCAGTTTCTGAAATACTCAGAGCAGCCCCTCTGGCAGCAACAACCATGCCACGTTCAAAGTCTCTTAAATCCCCTTTCTTCCCCATTCTGATGCTCGCTTTGACCTGCAGCAGATCCTCTTGATCATGTCTACATGCCTGAATGCAGTGAGCTGCTGCCATGTGATTGGCTGATTACACATTTGGTTAACAAGCAGTTGGACAGGTGTACCTAATAAAGTGGCCAGTGAGTGTGTATTGTCTATATTCACTGAGAAATTTAAATAAAAAGTACTGATTTTCATTTTTGCTGAGCACTTTATTATTTTATTCACTGTTTATGTAATCTGCAATACTTGACAAGTCATGCCAATAAAGCTCATTAATTAAAGAACTGAGAGATGAAGAGGTTAACATGTGGACAGAGAGTTACCATAGTATTAAAGACAAGTTAATTATATATTTTAGTCACTTAGACAGTTTAACACACAGCTTTAGGAGCAGATTATATCCTGTGAGACATGACTTTAGTAGTTTTAGATGCACTTCATACTCAGAGAGGGAAAGGATACCATTAGCACCATGGGCACGCACATCATTCATGGTTTAATAGCATGCATTTAGGTTTGCAGATTTACAATACATTTTCAGTAATGAGCATATTAAACATCCAAACCTTGTGTCAGTGTCAGTCCCGCCAGCAGGTCTGAGATCTTATGGTTTCCATGTTGTTTGGGCAGAATATCCTGTGATTCCAGCGCCAGAACCGCATTTTCTCCACGCATCTCCATCAGACAACACATCCGGCTCAGACACACACTCAGCACAGAAGCCTGAACAGTTCAAGAGTTTGATTTTAGTCACTACAATCATACAGCTGAAGTCTGAATTATTAGCCCTGCTGTATATTTTCCCCCAATTACTGTTTAAGATTTCTTCAGCACATCTCTAATCATAACAGTGTTAATAACTCATCTCTAATAGCTGATGTGTTTCCTCTTCATCATGATGACAGCAAATAATATTAGACTAGATATTCTTCAAGACACTAGTGTTCAGCTTACAGTGACATGTAAAGGCTTCACTAGGGTAATGAGGGTAAAGTTAGGGTAATTAGGCAAGTCATTGTATAACAGTGGTTTGTTCTGGAGACAATCCAACACTAATATTGCTGAAGGGGTGAATAATATTGAGCTTAACATGACTTTAACACTATTAAACACTGCTTTATTCTAGCCCAAATAAAACTAATCAGACTTTCTCCAGAAGATCCTAGTGTGAAACTCACCATATCTTGTGCGATGTCTTCAGTGCTCTGGGACAGAGAGCTGCTGAGTTCTGCTGATGATCCTTCCGTTCCCGCAGCAGGACTAACACACCTGCCTGAACCCACACCTGTACCATTGGGACGCAGAGACTCCACACCAGACTCTGAATGACAACAATAACATATGCATGACTTAAAGAGCACCTAAAATGCAGTGTGAGTGTGTGTAAATGCTTCTGTCAGTTTATGTGACTCCACATCTATAATCCTCTTAGTCTATGCTGACATGATCTTCAGCAGCTCAAACACTCTAATGGCTAATGGACAGACGGCTGCTTCTCACTCAGGCCTGCTGTTTATGCTAATGAGATGGAGAGATGGGCACTAGTGGGCGGGGCTTTCCCCCTCTGATGACACGTACAAAGAGAGAATGTCAATCAAAGTGTTTCTGCATCAAGAACAAACACAATTAACTCATGATCAGCATTAGAGACCGCTGCTGGAGATACACACACACACACACACACACTGCTGACACTGGGATTTCTATATAATAGGTGCCCTTTAATAACATTATATATATTTATATTTAAAATACAAATACCAGAATCCATGAGGATGACGAAGTTTTCACTCATGTCACTGTCAACAGATACACCGTCGTCCGCCAAACTGCCCTCTAAAATGGCACTGTCGCAGGAATTCTGGGAAGGCGAGTGTTTCATGGTCTGAAGCCGCAGACTGCCCATGATGGAGGGACTGGACTCCTCTGAACGCAAACTCTGATCCCTGAAAAACACAAATCAACACCGGTATTATGTGTAATAATGCAAATTATGTGTAGTTATGTGTAGTTAAAGAGATCAATTACCCAAAAATTACAATCTACACTATTTACTCTCCCTCAAGTGGTTATAAACCTTCATGAGTTTCTTTAATCCAGGGGTCACCAAACTTGTTCCTGGAGGGCTGGTGTCATGCAGATTTACCTCCAACCCTAATCAAACACACCTGAACAAGCCAATCAAGCTCTTACTGGGTAAACTTAGACCACCCAGGCAGGTGTTTTGAGGCAAGTTGGAGCTAAACCCTGCAGGGACACCGGCCCTCCAGGACACCGAGATTGGTGACCCCTGCTTTAATCTGTTGAACACAAAAGAAGATACTTTGAAAAATGCTATGAACCGGTACCTATTGACTTACATATGAGGAAAAACAAATACTATTGAAGTCAATGATTACAGCATTCTTCAAAATATCTTCTTTAGTGTTCAACAGGAAAAAGACGCTTATAAATGATTGAAGCAAGTAAAGGCTGAGTATATGATGACAGAGGTTTCATTTGTGGGTGTGTGTGTGTGTGTGTGTGTGTGTGTGTGTGTGTGAGTAGTTTTGACGTTTAGCTGGTGGGTCAAAATCTGTTGTACCCTTAAATGAGTTCAGCTTTCATGAAAACATGAAAATAAACGATGATTATTTTTTCCTTATGCTGGGGTCATTTTAGAAAAAGTCACCAAGCTTGTTTAAGATGAAATCACTTTGTTTAGGGTGTTTTCTGTAGTTTAAATGCTGCCCGGGGTCATTTCTGACCTGTATGTCAACAGGGTCAAAGGGTTTTAGTTCAATGGAAGTGCAGAAATCATTCATTCATTCACTTTCCTTCAGCTTAGTCGCTTATTCATCAGTGGTCGACACAGCTGCATGAACCGCCAACTATTCCAGCATATGTTTTACACAGTGGATGCCCTTCAAGCCGCAACCCAGCACAGGGAAACACACACACACTCATACACTACGGCCAGTGTAGTTGATCAGTTCCTCTATAGCGCATGTGTTTGGACTGTGGGGGAAACCGGAGCACCCAGAGGAAACCCACGCCAACACGGGGAGAACATGCAAACTCCACTTTAACTAAAAAAAGAAAGAAAGTGGTATTATAAAAGTATTTAAAGAGTGAGACAAATAAAAGCAGCGTGCATGTTTATGTGTGCATGAATGATTCCTGTAAGACTACATGCTTGCAGCATACCATTGAGGAATGCGCAAAACACAGACATTGAGTAGAGTAGCCAGAAGCAGTGTCAGCTCCTCTCAATGATGGACTGTGTGTGTATGTGCTGCACGTGAGCCAGCAGACATGCAGAGACACAAACAATGCCTTGCTTCAAGCCTAACCACAAATTATACAGCGCTAGTTTGTCAGATGGAGCCAACGATTACCAACATATTTTTTTTAAAGGAGACTTATTCTGCCCCTTTTAACGATGTAACATGCACCTGCGATGCAAAGGTGTCTAGAGAGTGTGTGTGTGTGTTTGAGCTGAGAACAGCACACAGATGATGTTCCCCAGCTCTCTGAAACTGACCCTTTCAGGCTTTGATCCTGATTGTAGAGTTTTGGTGACTGTCGCTTTAAATGCAAATGAGATTCAGAAGAGGGCGGAGCAACAGACGGCTGTGCATCAGCATAGTGGCATATTCAAAAATCGAGACAAACAACTTTTGCTAATGAGAGAGAGATGGTTGCTAATGTGCAGGGCCACATCTTCCAAACGTCTGACAAAGATACTCTGCAGAATGTTGGTAAAAGCAGCCATTGACTTCTATTGTATCTCAATGGCTGTGTTTGTCCAACATTCTTCTGAGTATCTTATTTTGTGCTCAACAGATGAAGAGAATGCATGAAATGTTAGAACTTTAGTGAGTTAATAGTGAGGAAATATTAATTATTGGGTGAATTATCCCTTTAACACTGCTGTTTGCAGGATCTAGTGCTTGTTGGACCTTTTAGAAAACCATAGACCATTCACGTCTGCAGGATAGACTGTATTATTGGTCATCTTTTCAGGCCGGTGTATTGATTTTAGTCTACTGTATTGATTTAGTCTACTAATCCAATGTTTCCCAGTTTGCTAGTGTGGAAAATCGTGTCTAATACAGTATTTTTCAATAGGGAGTTCCTCAGGGTTCAGTTCTGGGTCCATGTACTGTACTGTACTACCCTGTACTGTACTGTATATATAATGTACTGCCTTGAGTTTCACTGCTATGCGGATTATCCTCGATTATACACCACTAAAGTTCGTCTTCAAATGTAGATTTGAGTAACATCTGAGTATCACATTAGATAATCACAATCTTGTCTCAACCTCAAGACGTCCTTCAAGAAAGCAGATGCTCTTACTTGTTTTGAGGCGTGAAGAGTTTGTTCATGCCAGACCCTCGGCTCAGCATGCTGAAGGCATCTTTAGTGATGGACAATGCTCCTTTGGTTAAATCCAGGGAGGCGCTGAGGGCGTCTTTGGTGACCCCTTTAGTGGCGTTCAGTGCACTGGAAAAATCCCCCTCAATGCTGAAAGTAGAGCTGTGCCGGGACAATAACGCAGAGTTCCCAGGGGAAACCGGAGGAGTTGTAGGAGCAACACTTCCATCCTCATCATCATCGTGTGGAGTTTGATCTACGGCTTCCTCCACGGCTTCACAGGCCTCCTCTACTGATCCCTCCTGCTCCTCATCTTCTGGATCCTCATTCCCAGGATCAGCACGGTGGGATGGTGAGAAATCAGATTCGGTCAGGCTGTTAGTGTCCGTTTCTCCTGGAGAATCAGCTTGTTGTTCTGGCTCGCACGTTGCGGGTGGAAGCAGCAAAGAAAGCTCAATGGCCTCCATCAGGATTGAGACACAAACCGATGGCGGATCTGATGACTTGTTTTTGGATTCAGCTTGGGAATCCCTAGTCAAATCTTCGGCGAGCCTGCCAAGGTAGTCCTTCATCCTTAAAAGAGCTATAAACTGATAATGATTGAGCCACATTTTCACAGGAGTAATGGATTGGGCTAAAATATGAACTGATGCTGTTGGGGAATTGATTAGAGATTCTGTCTGCTGGGTTTTATTAGATATAAGGTCATTTGGAGCACATGAAAACTCCTGGCTAAATCTAGAAGGGGATTTTAAATCATCTTCTATACAATGAGAGTCTTTTGTGAAGGCGTCAGGATGGCACATCCATAAAGACATGGAAAAAGGCTCAACAAATGGAAGAGTTTTCCCTCGGAGTCCTCGACGAGCGCCGTCAAAACCAAGAGTCACTCGGGACAGACTGACGGACCAGACATCCTGAGAGCGAGACAGACGTTTGTACGCTAACAAGGACTCGTTTTCTAGGGAGTGTTGAAGAAATGCGGATGGCAGGGGGTGTAGGACGCTCTGATCTCGCGGGAAAGGTTTACATTGTGTGGTATTGAAGAATGAACGGCTGGAGAAGCTGCTGTAGGTGCTGTTGAGGTCCGAATGGGCGCCGTGCGGAGACTGACGCGTGTTGCTGAGGATTATCTGAGGAAAACTGATGCTCAGTGACTGAGGACGGTCAGGGTGATCCAAAATAGAGGACTCCAGGGGAACGATCAGCTAAAAATGAACAGAGAAGATTTAGATAGAGCATGCTTTGGTGACACTTTGGTTTAGGGCACAATTCAGGTATTAACAAAAGGGATGGATGGATAGGATGGATGGATGGATAGGATGGATAGGATGGATAGGATGGATAGGATGGATGGATGGATGGATGGATGGATGGATGGATGGATGGATGGATGGATACTATAGATAGATGGATGGACGGATGGATGGATACTATTGATGGATGGATGGATGGATGGATACTATTGATGGATGGATGGATGGATGGATGGATACTATTGATGGATGGATGGATGGATGGATACTATTGATGGGTGGATGGATGGATGGATGGATGGATGATGGATACTATTGATGGATGGATGGATGGATGGATACTATAGATAGATGGATGGATGGATGGATGGATGGATACTATTGATGGATGGATGGATGGATGGATGGATACTATTGATGGATGGATGGATGGATGGATGGATGAATGGATGGATAAATGCTATTGACGGATGGATGGATACTATAAATAGATGGATGGATGGATACTATTGATGGATGGATGGATGGATACTATAGATAGATGGATGGATGGATGGATGGATGGATACTATGGATGGATGGATGGATGGATGGATGGATGGATACTATAGATAGATGGATGGATGGATGGATGGATACTATAAATAGATGGATGGATGGATACTATTGATGGATGGATGGATGGATGGATGGATACTATTGATGGATGGATGGATGGATGGATGGATACTATAGATAGATGGATGGATATATACTATTTATGGATGGATGGATGGATGGATACTATTGATGGATGGATGGATGGATGGATACTATAGATAGATGGGTGGATGGACGGATACTATTGATGGATGGATGGATGGATGGATGGATGGATACTATAGATAGATGGATGGATGGATGGATGGATGGATGGATGGATACTATTGATGGATGGATGGATGGATGTATGGATGGATACTATAGATAGATGGATGGATGGATGGATACTATTGATGGATGGATGGATGGATGGATGGATGGATGGATACTATTGATGGATGGATGGATGGATGGATGGATGGATGGATGGATACTATTGATGGATGGATGGATGGATGGATGGATGGATGGATACTATTGATGGATGGATGGATGGATGGATACTATTGATGGATGGATGGATGGATGGATGGATACTATAGATAGATGGATGGATGGATACTATTGATGGATGGATGGATGGATGGATGTATGGATGGATACTATAGATAGATGGATGGATGGATACTATTGATGGATGGATGGATGGATGGATGGATACTATTGATGGATGGATGGATGGATACTATAGATAGATGGGTGGATGGACGGATACTATAAATAGATGGATGGATGGATACTATTGATGGATGGATGGATGGATGGATACTATAGATAGATGGATGGATGGATGGATGGATGGATACTATTGATGGATGGATGGATGGATGGATGGATACTATTGATGGATGGATGGATGGATGGATGGATGGATGGATGAATACTATTGATGGATGGATGGATGGATGGATACTATTGATGGATGGATGGATGGATAGATATTACAGACAGACGGACAGACACAGACAGACAGACAGACAGACAGACAGACAGACCGACCGACCGACCGACCGACCGACCGACCGACCGACCGACAGACAGACAGACAGACAGACAGACAGACAGACAGACAGATAGATAGATAGATAGATAGATAGATAGACAGACAGATCTTGGTTTACCTTCAGCTGTGTTGCATCCAGGCGTATATCGATGTGTTCGTCAGTCTTGCTGCTGTCCTGCAGGTGGTAAAAAGCTTTGACCTGATCTAAAGTCCTGTGTAAACCTCGTGAAAACAGAGTCATCCATAAGACGCTCGGAGCGTCCACACACAGCTGTAGACCATTGAGCTGCGCATACAGGTTAGAGGAGGGCACTACAAAGACAAAGAGCATTACAATCACTACAAACAACTTCATGCAATAATCGTGCAAGTTATTATCAGTGGCTATGTTTACGTGGACACCAATCCTCCATTTTTCATACGATTGAGAGAATACTCTGATGGAGAATCTACCATGTAAACAGAGAATTTTGATGACCTTAATCTGACTAAAGTCATAATCAAACTGAACAGACATGAATAAGACGTGGAGTATTTCTGTGTGAGTGGCATTTGTGTGCATGTAAATGTACTCATCGACATGCCTGGTGATCAATGACTGCAAAACATCATAGCTAACACACCTGGAAGTCCAGGGATGTCAGGAAAGTAGTATTCGGTGAACTGAAGGTGGATTGCAGGAGTGTTTTCTGGGAGATGGAGGGATTTGCGGTTGCAGGACAGAAGAGACTGTGTTTTCCTGCTGTGTCGGCCTCCAGTGGACACCTAAAGCAACAGATGAGCTTTAATTTACACCTTTAAGGTAATTACCCTCACAACAACCCCTCATGCTGGAGTTTACTGCTTGTTTGTTATTACTGATCTCTAGAAGAGTGCAACTAGCTTTGTTTCCATCCGAAGATGCTGATTCAATTCATGCACTACACTGAAATAAGTTAGTAAGTTAGTTGGTAAACTATTTAGTTAGTCAATAGGTTAATAAGTTAGTAGGTAAGCAAGCTAGTAAGTAAGCTAGTAAGCAATTTAGTAAGTTAGTTAGTAAGTTAGTTGGTAAGTTATTTAGTCAAAAAGTTAGTAAGTTAGTAGGTAAGCAAGCAAGTTAGTAAGTTAGTAAGCAAGTTAGCAAGCGAGTTAGTAAGTTAGTGAGCAAGTTAGCAAGCGAGTTAGTAAGTTAGTTGGTAAGTTTAGTTAGTCAATAAGTTAGTAAGTTAGTATGTCAAGCAAGCAAGTTAGTAAGTAAGCTAGTAAGCAAGTTAGTAAGTTTGTTAGTAAATTAGTTGGTAAGTTATTTAGTTTGTCAATAAGTTAGTAAGTTACTATGCAAGTAAGCAAGCAAGCAAGTTAGTAAGTAAAGCTAGTAGACAAGTTAGTAAGTTAGTTGGTAAGGTTTTAAGTTAGTTAGTCAATAACTTAGTATGTAAGCAAGCAAGCAAGATAGTGAGCAAACTAGTAAGTTAGTTGGTAAATTAGTTGGTAAGTTATTTTTAAGTTATTAAGTTAGTAAATAAGTTAGTTGGTCATTAAGCAAGTTTGTAAGTTAGTTAGTAGGTATGTTATGAAGTTAGTTAGCCAATAAGTTAGTATGTCAGTCAATAAGTTAGTTAGTTAGTCAATTAGTTAGTTAGTTAGCCAACAAGTAAGTTAGTTAGTCAGTTAGTTAGTTAGTCAATACGTTAGTTAGCTAGTCAATAAGTTAGTTGTTAGTTAGTTAGTTAGTTAGTTAGTTAGTTAGTTAGTTAGTTAGTTAGTTAGTTAGTTAGTTAGCAAACAAGTTAGTAAATAAGTTAGTAGGTATGTTATGAAGTTAGTTAGTCAATAAGTTAGTATGTAAGCAAGCAAGCAAGCAAGATAGCAAGTAAGCAAGTTAGTAAGTTAGTTGGTAAGTTAGATGGTAAGTTAGATGGTAAGTTAGATTGTAAGTTAGTTAGTAAGTTAGTATGTAAGCAAGCAAGCTAGTAAGCAAGTTAGTAAGTTAGTAATAATATTCCATTTTAAACAACTGAATAAAGTTTTTAATTCCACATCTTATATGCTTGTTGTGCTCAATGTTGACAGTTTTCCCTCTTTTGTGCCACTGTAAACACAAGACAGACATGCATTTCTGACTGAATGATGCATGGCATTAAAAATTAAAGCCTTCATTGTCACGGAGAGCGTACTGTTCTTTCATTTATTCCAGCAAACACATGATGACGATCCACATTAAGCATGAACAAGTCATCAGAGATGCTGGATTTAGCTTAATGACACTCTTTTCATGTTTTACACACTTTCATCTGTCAACAAAAGCATAACATCAGCACTGCGTCACATGCTGACTTACACCCATGTGATGGAAAAAGGGATGGCACAAGCAGAGTCTAGTCTAATTTTAGACAGAACTGACTTCTGTCTCATAAAAGCTTGTGATGAAGTTCACCACTGACCGGACTTGATCAGAGTAAATATGACATAAGATATATAGTTAGGTCTGACTGTATATGGTCTCCTGCAGGATATCTGCAACTCAAGCTCTCAGAAACTGAAGACATGCATATTGATTTGACACTTTTTTATTACAGTACAATTTATATTGGACTCAAAAGTATTCATAAATACACCTACAAGTCTACATCTACAGTGTTGCTCAAGTAACATTATCCACATCTTGAACTTAAAGTCTCACACAATCTTGGAAATAAAACAAAAAAAAATGTAATGATAATAAAGGTTTGATCAGTTTCTCTGTGTGTAAGAGGATCAGGGTTGAGTGTGTGATTGGTTTATGTTCGTCTATAATAGATCTTTTTTACCTGATGGATGTCCAGATCGTCCACACGGATCACCATACAGCTGGAGCGCAGCTTCTTCAGGGCGGATGCCTGAGTCCGCTCGGGGCTGAAACTGGACTGTGATTCCCTGTCTGCTTACATTAAAAACACATTCACTATTATAAATGTTTGAAGAGAAAGAAAACATTAAGATGAACTAGATGAACACACGACAAACAGATGCATTTCCTGAGGAACTCATGCTTCAGTATTAGTGTTAATATCATCAACAAAAATATGAGGGAATAATTAGTTAGTTAATTGGTTGGTCAATAAGTTAGTGAGTTAGTATATAAGCAAGTTAGTAAGTCACACAATAAGTTAGCTAGAAAGTTATCAAGTTAGTAAGTTAATTGGTAAGTTAGTTTGTATATTAAGTTAGTTAGTCAATTAATTAGTGAGTTAGTTAAAAAGTTAGTAAGTTATTTGGTAAGTTAGTCAATAAGTTAGTAGGTGAGTTAGAAAGTTATTAGGTAATTAAGTTAGTTGGTAAGTTAGTTAGTCAATTAGTTAGTGAGTTAGTTAAAAAGTTGGTAAGTTGTTTGGTAAGTTAGTTAGTCAATAAGTTAGTCAATAAGTTATCGAGTTAGAAAGTTATTAGGTAAGTTAGTTGGTCAGTTAGTTAGTCAATAAGTTAGTTAATAAGTTACTAAGGAAGTTATTAGGTTAGTAAGTTAGCTGGTAAGTTAGTTAGTCAATAAGTTAGTCAATAACTTAGTGAGTTAGGAAGTTATTAGGTTAGTAAGTTAAATGGTAAGTTAGTCAATAAGCTAGTTGTTCAATAAGTTAGTAAGTGAGTTAGAAAGTTATTAGTTTAGTAAGTTAGTTGGTAAGTTATTGAGTTAGTCAATAAGTTAGTTAGTTAGTTAGAAAGTTATTAGTTTAGTAAGTTAGTTGGTAAGTTATTGAGTTAGTCAATAAGTTAGTTAGTTAGTTAGAAAGTTATTAGTTTAGTAAGTTAGTTGGTAAGTTATTCAGTTAGTCAATAAGTTAGTTAGTTAGTTAGAAAGTTATTAGTTTAGTAAGTTAGTTGGTAAGTTATTCAGTTAGTCAATAAGTTAGTTAGTTAGTTAGAAAGTTATTAGTTTAGTAAGTTAGTTGGTAAGTTATTGAGTTAGTCAATAAGTTAGTTAGTTAGTGAAAAATGTTTGTTGCTTATAGCTTGACAGAAACAGAAGCTCTACAGTCACTCTGCGCTAGTGAAGTGACTGAAAACTGTAAATGCATGCATACACTCTGATCTGCGCATCTTATCAATAAACAGCACATTAATGTTGAGCAAAAGGACGAGGCTAACATGTCTTCAAAAGAATAAAAGCTAACCAACATTAGTTGCCGCTGCATAATCCACTGCATTGCGCTGTTCATTTGCAGATCACAGCAGAAACATTCAGCTCCACCAGTGAAGAAAAAACTCAACCAGAACTTCAGGTTTAGTTCCAAATGATGTCATTCCAGTTTTTTTTTTTTTTTTTAAGTATACCAGGGCCTTTAGTGAAGAGTTTGGGATGGGAGAAAGCGCACCCTTAATTTTTCTGGCTGGAGAGTCTTTAGCTGACACATTTGCTTCTGACTGAGGTCCAGGGATGCCCAGATCCTCCATCCTCCTCTGGAAGTCCTGCAGAAGTTTTGATGCCCACTGAGCCCGAGAGTCCATCGCCCCACAGTGACGTTCCCAGTGCTGACAGCCATCACCTGAACAACACACACACAGACACATCACACACTTCACTACAGAACAGTATGTGATCAACCGTATGCCATCTGAGTATCAGGTCCAAATTCATCATATTGGAAAAATAGTCGGCATCTACACTTTAAAGGGCACCTATTATGCAAAAATGACTTTTATGAGCGCAGTGTAAGTATCTCCAGCAGCGGTCTCTAATGCTGATCATGAGTTAATTGTGTTTGTTCTTGATGCAGAAACACTTTGATTGACATTCTCCTGCTGTACGTGTCATCAGAGGGGGAAAGCCCCGCCCACTAGTGCCCATCTCCCCATCTCATTAGCATAATCAGCAGCCCTGAGTGAGAAGCAGCTAAAAGTATACAATTTTTCTGCTCTACTTTGTACGATATAGATCATAGGGAAAAATAGGGCAAAAGGAGAAAATAGGACAAGTCGGAAATAATCATAATAATAATAATGAATGAACAGTGGCGTGTAGAGTTGAATAAGTGGAGCTCAAGTCCTCAAACCTGTGACAGAACAGTGAAATGCGAGTCTTTTGTGAGTGGCGGTCATTTATTCACCTGGCCTGTGAAACGGGTAATAGTCAAAGCCCAGTTTCCTGAAGGTCAGCTGCATTGCACCCTGTGTGCCTGGAAGAGGAGCTTCATCTGTGTGTGCAGGCAGAAACAAACATACATGCATCATTATTATTATTATTATTATCATATACTTTAATGAATAACACCAAGATAAGCTTGACTGGTTCATCCAAAAACGTAAATTCTGACTTTCAAATCTGACTTGTTCCCCAATGGATGACAAAAATGTATTCATTTATTTGAATGCTGCCTCACCGCAAGAAGGTCGCTGGTTCGAGTCCCAAACACATGCGCTATCGTGGAATTGATTGACCAAACTGGCCGTAGTGTATAAGTGTGTGTGTGAATGGGTGTGTTTGGGTGTTTCCCGCTACTAGGCTGCGTCTAAAAGGGCATCCACTGTGTAAAACATATGCTGGAATAGTTGGTGGTTCATTCCGCTGTGGCAACCTTTATAAATAAAGGCACTAAGCTGAAGGAAAATGACTGATAATATAATATAAATGCACACATGCATACATACATTTTTGCAGATTGCTGTCATGTTTAAACGTATTTAATCACATAAATTAACCATGAAGTCAGGTGTGTCAGATGTAGACTGCTGACCGGCCTCTGAAGAGCTGTCGTTGCAGATGTGCAGGTCGAGGCGGGAGATGAAGGTGTGGTAGGAGGATTCCTTCACATCATGCAGATCGAAATACTGAGCCAGAGTGCAGGAGCCGGACGCCTCAGGAGGAGCAGGAGCATCCGTCCACAGAGAGTGTGTGCTGGGAGAGGGAGGAGCAGTCTGACACACACACACACACACACACACACACACACACACACACACACACACACAAAGATTTCAGTCACGCACAGGCTGAGGCTGGCGAATAGAGAATGGAGAATATGCAGCCCGTGGGTAAACTTTAGATATCTTATAGAGGGCTTTTCACTACATTGACAGTGCACAGTTACTCTGTAATGACAGCTGTGCCTCACAGACACACTAAAACCTTTGCCCAAAGCCTGGAGCGTGAGGTCAGAGACAGAAATAGCACAGGCCAAAGAGTTTGACTGTGATTTTAATCTTTTAACAGCACCAGTACTGGGGTTTTCTCATGCTCACTGAGGAGGCATCACTAGGCCCACACAGAATCTGTGCCACAGAAATCTGCAGTATCTGCAGCCCATCACTGAGTCTATTGATTTGCTTGTGTAAATGTGTGTAAATCTAGATTTACTCAGTTTTTAAATAAATGTTAATGTCTAATATGAAAGTGCTCATTCATTTATTTGCAATGCAGTTTGTACAGTAATATGTTCTGCATCTTTTATTAGATATATTATATGATAGACTTGATTAGTTTACCAAATAAGGGGATCTAGATGGATTAGCATTGTAAACACAAAAATAAAAGTTAAAAATATATCATTTTTTTATTTCATATATTAAGTTTTTAGTTACGATGCTCCCAAAATTATTCCACATAAATCCACTGGTTTTTAACAAAACTCTCTGCAGAAATAGCAAACAACGTCCGCAGATTGACTTTATTGAAGAGAAAATACATTAACAAAGGCAAGGAAAAGGAGAAAAAAAGCTTTACAAAGCCTCAATTATTAAGAAAAGGATGATCTTTTCCTTTTTATTGTTAATAAGTTTTAGAGATTCAACAATGAATTAAATGTAAGCCTAAAAATATTAAATCTAGGTAAGAATTTATCTGAACGTATAAACAAAACTTTACAATGTTAACACAAAAAAGTTACTTGAAGAGGAGTTTATAAGCCTTTATAAGCATGGTAGGACACGTGTCATCAATGTGAAGGAGATTTTATGCATGACAAGTGTCATTAGGGGTCTATTTTGACGATCTAGACGCAAAGTCTAAAGCGCAGGGCCAAACGCATTAAGGGCGTGTTTGAATCCACTTCTGCTATTTTAACTCTGCGCCGTGGTGCATGGTCTAACAGGGTTGAGCTTATTCTCTTAATGAATTATAGGTGTGTTATGAGAATAACCCAATCAGAGTCTCATCTCTCATTCCCTTTCAGAGCCAGCTGCGTCATGCCATGGTGCATTTGCTATTTACATGATGGACTTTGTAAGAGTAAAACTGAACGCCTCACTAGCGAGAACACAGTTAAACAGAGCATCTGCAGCGCGAGAATGAGAGATAAGGTTATCTACTTTCACTTTCACTCTCGTGGATAGGGAAACGTGTTGTACACACAGACATCCATTAGCCTATACATAACTAATTGTTAAGTGCAAAGATTTGTGTCAAAACTATTTTAAAATTCAGTTCTAATCTTCAGCAAACGAATAAATGAACAATAATAACGAAGTGTGGTTATATCCGAATATGTCTATTAATGTCCTAATACTATACGTCATTCGCTCAGTTATGGTATTTAAAAAAAGACGACATGTTTGTTATGACAAACAAATTCAGCACAACCTTGTTTTTAGATATTTCATGACAACTTGATGCTACCAACACAACAAGTCCTGTCATAAATCCATCATAAACATGATTAGATGACCTGTGGGTGTGTAAATGAACAACTTTGGGTGAACTATCCCTTTGTAGGAGACCTATTAGGCCTCTTTTCACAAGCTGTAAATGCATCTCTGCTGTGTCTAGTGTGTGTATGTGTGTGTGTGTTTGAGCTGAGAACAGCACACAGGTAATGTTCTCCAGCTCTCTGAAACTGACCCTTTCAGGCTTTGATCCTAATTTTTTGTTGACTGTCGCTTTAAATGCAAATGAGATTGAGCTCTTTTCAGAAGAGGGCGGAGCTACAGACAGTTGTGAAACAGCAGTGTGTGTGTTGTCAGTGCTGTGCATGTGTGCTTCAGTGTGAGTGTGTGCTTGATGCTTCTGTCAGTCTATGTCACTCCTTCATCTTAAACTCCACATCTATAATCCTCTTAGTCTATGCTGACATGATCTTCAGCAGCTCAAACACTCTAATGGCTAATGGACAGACGGCTGCTTCTCACTCAGGCCTGCTGTTTATGCTAATGAGATGGAGAGATGGGCACTAGTGGGCGGGGCTTTCCCCCTCTGATGACATGTACAGCAGGAGAATGTCAATCAAAGTGTTTCTGCATCAAGAACAAACACAATTAACTCATGATCAGCATTAGAGACCGCTGCTGGAGATACACACACTGCTGCTTTAAACCGCTTATAGAAGTGATTTTGCATAATACACCCACTTTAAGTGGTCTCAGTGTGTGTGTGTGTGTTATACCTGCAGTGTGTCCGCAGCCATGCTCTTCCTCTGCTGTCCAGATTTCTCCATGGCCTCGCTCAGAGATTTGGCGTAGCGGATGATTGCCTTGAGCTGGGAGTCTGTCAGCACCCACAGCAGATCATCCAGAATAAACAGCAGCTTAGAGGCCAACACGTTACAGTCCTTCACCTGACACCAGCAGAAACAACAGCACAGAAACATCACATTTAACACAGATAAAAACACATAAACACTGATTTCCAGCTTAAAAATGTGACATTTGCATGTGTCTGAGCAGCAGAAGTGCTCATAGTGTGTAAACTCAGAGCTCAGTGAATAGGAGAGCACAACACATCATCATTCTACACTCCTATTAGCTGAAATAATGACAGAAACTCCAGGATGGTGTTATGAAGACTTTCAGAAAGAGGAAAACAGCAGTGTGAGACTGATAACGGCAGCCAGAGGAGACAATACTGTCAGATCTACTGTCCTGAACACACACACACTGCAGTACACACACCTCACACATGTGGGACTGCTGTTTTTCTGTAATTTGATGCAAAAAAGATATAATGCACACATAAATGTATAGAAATGTTAATTTTTTTTAATAAAATCTAAATATTAAACACTTTAAGGATTCAGGATGCTGATGAGCACTAAACACATCACGACACGAAGGGTCGCATTATGACCTTGGGGAGTTTACAGGTGTCTGAAAAACACTCGCTGTTAATGTAAAGCACATTAGCACAAGTGTGAAGGTGTTGTGAAAGTGAATGTGCAAGCTGTACCCTGCGTTTGAGAGCGATGCGTATTCTGCCTTGGTTAGTAATGAGTCGTAGTGGTGTGCTGCCCAGATCCTGATCCTCGCTCTCTATGGCGTCCGCCTCGATACGCAGACTCTGCCAGTTAATCTCCTTGAACGTCAGCACCTGCACGACAGAAGACCTTGTAAAATAGCACCTTTCAACCCTTTTTAAAGGCATTAAACATCTCTAAACTGATTCATCTGTGAGATGTGAATTTTAAAATAATATCAGGTTAAATGTGGTTCAGAGCATCTGCCATGGCCTTCACCTCATCTACTGACTGCTTATATATTATATTAGACAGCATGAGAGGTCATCTGAACGAAACATCCATCCTACATCTGCAGTGCCTGAGGATCTGGCAACCCGCAGATCTGTTCATACATCAGAATGACTGGCCTGATTTCATTAGCTAATGCTGGTCTGGGGACTTCACATGAGCGTGTGCTTCTGTGAGGGGAAGAAAAGCAAGTGAAAGAGGAACAAGAGGAGGAGAACTGAAGCGGAAAACACTTTGATCTGACAGCTGCTCACGTCTTCACTCACACTATTGTGCTTTTTATTAATCACCTTTTGAATAATGTAACGCCTTTCCTCCATGATGTGATTCCCCCACACTCTCAATGAAGAAATGGCTGTTAATTCAGCAGATTAAATCTATTATAACACCACTCGACCCCTGACATTCGTACAGTTCTTCAGGCCAAATGTGTTGAAAGTGTTGCACAATTCTTGTGTGTTTCTGCCTGATGACGTCAAACAGACAGGTCATTTAAGTGCAGGTCACACTGAAGCACACACACTTTCACTGCTGCACAGGACTCTTAATACACCCTTACTCATTTCGCCATGGTCAGGGTCTCCCAACAGTTATATATCCGTACAGGGTCTAAACACCTTCTTCTCGTTCTTTTCTTACAGTGACAGAAAGGGCTGGTTTTTGGTCAGATGACTCTACTTTTCCACTTTAATTGGACCTGTGACTCTACTCCACTCTGATTGGTCAGATGACTCTACTAATCCACTCTGATTGGTCAGATGACTCTACTACTCCACTCTGATTGGTCAGATGACTCTACTAATCCACTCTGATTGGTCAGATGACTTTACTAATACTAATCCACTCTGATTGGTCAGATAACTCTACTACTCGACTCTGATTGGTCAGATCACTCTACTAATCCACTCTGATTGGTCAGATGACTCTACTACTCGACTCTGATTGGTCAGATGACTCTACTAATCCACTCTGATTGGTCAGATGACTCTACTACTCGACTCTGATTGGTCAGATGACTCTACTAATCCACTCTGATTGGTCAGATGACTCTACTAATCCACTCTGATTGGTCAGATGACTCTACTAATCCACTCTGATTGGTCAGATGACTCTACTAATCCACTCTGATTGGTCAGATGACTCTACTAATACTAATCCACTCTGATTGGTCAGATGACTCTACTATTCCACTCTGATTGGTCAGATGACTCTACTACTCGACTCTGATTGGTCAGATGACTCTACTAATCCACTCTGATTGGTCAGATGACTCTACTAATCCACTCTGATTGGTCAGATGACTCTACTAATCCACTCTGATTGGTCAGATGACTCTACTACTCGACTCTGATTGGTCAGATGACTCTACTACTCCACTCTCATTGGTCAGATGACTCTACCACTCTGATTGGTCAGATGACTCTACCACTCTGATTGGTCAGATGACTCTACCACTCTGATTGGTCAGATGACTCTACTTCTTCACTCTGATTGGTTAGATGACTCTACTATTCCGGTCTGATTGGTCAGACACCTCTATTAAGAGTGGACTGGGTGTGTGTGTGTATTGTGTATGTGCTTGTGTGTATGAGTGTGTGTGTCATACCTCTCCTCGTTTGGGGTGTGTGACGCGTGTGTACCGCAGGTCGCTCTTCTGCCATTTGGGGTTGAGGCTGCAGCCCTGAAGCTGCCAGAGCTGGAAGGAGGCGTGAAACGCTCGCGACTGCACTTTAATGGTGATGGAGTTGATGATCACAGACATCCCCTCCACTACCTTCTCTGCGAACCCATACTCACTGTGGAGAAAGTCTTACATGTTTTATTTGGGCTAGAATAAAAGCAGTGTTTAATAGTGTTAAAGTCATGTTAAGCTCAATATTATTCACCCCTTCAGCAATATTAGTGTTGGATTGTCTCCAGAACAAACCACTGTTATACAATGACTTGCCTAATTACCCTAACTTTACCCTAATTACCCTAGTGAAGCCTTTACATGTCACTGTAAGCTGAACACTAGTGTCTTGAAGAATATCTAGTCTAATATTATGTGCTGTCATCATGATGAAGAGGAAACACATCAGCTATTAGAGATGAGTTATTCACACTATTATATTTAGAAATGTGCTGGAGAAATCTGCTCTCCGATAAACAGAAAATGGAGACAAAAAATATACAGGAGGGCAAATAATTCTGACTTCAACTGTAAAAGTCAATGCGCATAATTTAATACAGAAATCATCCTGACCTTTGACCTGCAGTAATTGCAATTGGAGAGGGTCCGTTTGGGGCTCTGGGCTCCTCACACGTCCTCATTTCAACCTCCACTTTATCCAGGAACTGAAAACACAACAAAACCAAGCAGAAAATATCGTAAATCACTTTAGTTTTATAAAGAACTAGCTGCTAAAGCCATACACTAACTACAGAAACGCCAGTGTTGAGGTGATCTCCAACATGGAGAGCTGTCAGAGGCCATACGATATTAGCTGACATCTACTGCTTAATCCAATATTCATTCAATATCAGTCTCCATTTCAGAGATCACCACAGCGGAATGAACCGCCAATTATTCCAGCATATGTTTTACACAGTGGATGCCCTTCCAGCTGCAACCCAGCACTGGGAAACACCCATACACACTCATTCACAACAGCCAGTTTAGTTGATCAGTTCCCCTATACCGCATGTGTTTGGACTGTGGGGGAAACCGGAGCACCCGGAGGAAACCCACACCAACACGGGGAGAACATGCAAAGTCCACACAGAAACACCAACTGACCCAGCTGGGACTCGAACCAGCAACATTCTTGCTGTGAGACCACAGTGCTAACCACTATTCAATGATACAAAGTGCAGTTTAGTAACATCTTTATCTTTTAATCTTTAATAAATCCTCTAATCTTGATTGTGATGCGACTTGCGGATACACAATTAATACTCAAACGCTATATTTTGCTCAGCTCTAGTATATTGCATATACTGTTATAACACTAATGGTAATTGTGCAATATATTTTAGTTGATAGTGGAAAGTGTGCAGTCACGGTGATGTACTCTGCTGGGCACATCATACACCCATTGATGCACTTTTGCAGAAGTGAAAAAGCACAGAAGATCATGTGGTAATCAGGGGATGACTGAGTGAGAGACATGATGTAGATGAGCATGCAGATGAGGAGATCCTTACCAAGCATATGGGACTGGTCTTCAACTTTGTCCATTGTATCTGATGAGGGAAAAACAAACAGATTTAACTCGCACTCCTCCAAGCTGTGTGTCATATGTGGTAAATCTCACTGATTCAAGTTGAGGATTGTTTTTACAAGCCGATACTGACCCCTGATTTTAATCTATTTCTATATTTTTATTATATTTGAACTGTCATATACACTCACCGGCCACTTTATTAGGTACACCTGTCCTACTGCTCATTAACGCAAATTTCTAATCAGCCAATCACATGGCAGCAACTCACTGCATTTCGGCATGTAGACATGATCAAGAGGATCTGCTGCAGGTCAAAGTGAGCATCAGAATGGGGAAGAAAGGGGATTTAAGAGACTTTGAACGTGGCATGGTTGTTGCTGCCAGACGGGCTGCTCTGAGTATTTCAGAAACTGCTGATCTACTGGGATTTTCACGCACAGCCATCTCTAGGGTTTACAGAGAATGCTCCGACAAAGAGGAGATATCCAGTGAGCGGCAGTTCTGTGGGCGCAAATGCCTTGTTGATGTCAGAGGAGAATGGCCAGACTGGTTCCAGCTGATAGAAAGGCGACAGTAACTCAAATAAGCACTCGCTACAACCGAGCTCTGCAGAAGAGCATCTCTGAACACACAACACGTCCAACCTTGAGGCGGATGGGCTACAGCAGCAGAAGAGCACACCGGGTGCCAACATTTCTGTGTGTGTGTGTGTGTGTGTGTGTTTTACCCGTATAGCAGCTTTATTGCAGTAGACGCGTGTGACAGCCAGCCAGGTGGGCAGCTCCAGCATGTTCTGCAGTACCTCCTCATCTAGCTCCAGGTTGGAGAGCTGACCTTCTCCCTTCAGCGTGCTCAGGTTAATCTTATCTGGAGAGAGGTTCTTTGTGAACCTGCACAACATAAGACAACATGTAGTCAATATAGAGTATAGCTAATTTTATGCTGTTTTAATGTAACAACATCCCAACATCCCATAATGCAGTTCACCACCACAAATGAAACTGTTCATTAGCAGATATATTTTACAGCACACTGATGAACTGGAGCTGATTGAGACACACCCGAATAATTCTGTGATTAAGACAGCACTTAAAAAGTCTAGCTTTCTGGTTAGTGCACTAGCACTAAGGGAGCTGATTGAGACGCACCCTTGGCTAATAAGATTACAACAGTAAAACCGCTTTAAGCCCACGGGAGCGTCTCTAACCCCTGCCCTCAAACCATGCAGGAATCACAGACACAATATTCACCGCAGAGCCTGAATTTATGCATCCTAGGAGGAAAAACAGCACATTATTCACTACAAACACACAGAGCTTCAAAGGACTGCAGGGTTTCACGCATCTGAATAGGAAATCTCCATTCGCTCAAAGATTAATGAGGCCTCAGAAGAGCAGAGAGAGAGAAAATGCTGTCAGAAACACTTCAGTCATGCTACAATAATGGCGCAGCAGAGGGATTGTGACACTGCCTGATGCTGTTTTTGTGTCATCAAGTGTTTTTCACTGAAGAAACAGGCACAAGTGAAAACAGCTGGCGTTCAGCAAAATGTGAGCAAATGACAACAATCTACGGTCAGAAGTGAAGCGCAGTGTGAAGCAGAGCTATTGAGGACAATTAAAAGGAAGATTAAAAATCTGACAAACAAATCCTGTTATTAATAATAAAGAAATGAAAGACAGTAAAAAATAAATAAAATATGAAACAAAAAAAGCATGTAATAATAACAGTACAGAATTACTGAAGATTCCTGGATATGAAGCACAGTCAATCTACTGTATTTAACTGAAATTAAAACCATTTAATAATAATAATATTCATTTTCTTCTCGGCTTAGTCCCTTTATTAATCTGGGGTCGCCACAGTGGAATGAACCACCAACTTATCCAGCATATGTTTTATGCAGCGGATGCCAATATTATTAGCTTTACTCCACAGCCTGGTCAATTAATTGCATGTGTGAATGTGCGTGCGTGCGTGTCTGGGTCTTTCTCAGTTTTTCCAAGAGGGTTAGATGCTTCAGAGTAGGGCTGAGTGAGAACAGCACAATAAAAACAAGTCCTAATATTTTCAATCTATACAGTTAAAGGCAAAATTATTATACATTTTTGATTGATTCTCAAATATTTACCTAATGATGTTTCATCAAACAAGGACATTTTAAATCCGTTTTAATCAAATTATAATATATATACAGATATATACAAATATATATACAGTTGAAGAATTATTAGCCACCTTGAATTATTTTTTTCTCCAATTTCTGTTTATCGGAGAGCAGATTTCTTCAACACATTTCTAATCATAACAGTGTTAATAACTCATCTCTAATAGCTGATGTGTTTCCTCTTCATCATGATGACAGCACATAATATTAGACTAGATATTCTTCAAGACACTAGTGTTCAGCTTACAGTGACATGTAAAGGCTTCACTAGGGTAATTAGGGTAAAGTTAGGGTAATTAGGCAAGTCATTGTATAACAGTGGTTTGTTCTGGAGACAATCCAACACTAATATTGCTGAAGGGGTGAATAATATTGAGCTTAAAATGGTGTTTAAAAATTAAAATAGCTTTTATTCTAGCCCAAATTAAAACAAATAAGACTTTTTTCAGAAGAACAAATATTATCAGACATACTGTGAACATTTCCTCAATCTGTTAAACATATATATATATATATATATATATATATATATATATACACACACACACACACACACACACACACACACACACACACACACACACACACACACAGTTCTATCTATCTATCTATCTATCTATCTATCTATCTATCTATCTATATATATATATATATAAATAATCGCAAAACTCAGCAATAGTGCATACTGAATATTTTTTCAGTATTGTGTAGCCATATCAACTCTATTTAACACCAAAAACAAAACCTAAACCTAACTAAACTTCAAACAAAAAAACACAACAAAAAGAAAACAAATCCTAAACAAAACAAAACCTAATTAAACTTGAAATAAAACACGTACAACCAAAATTAGAACAAAGCGAAGCAAACCTAAACTAAACTAAACCTAAAACAAATCTTAAAACAAAACAAAAGTAAACCAAAACAAAGCATAACTAAACTAAAATAAAATGAACTCAAACTAAACAAAAACTAAACTAGCATAAACTAAAACAAAACCTAAACAAAACAAAACTTAATTAAACTTAAAACAAATAAAAGCAAAGTAAAAACAAAGCAAACCTAAAACAAAACAAAAAAACTAAACTAAACTACAATGAACTAAACCCAAACATAATCTAGCTCAACAAAACCTGAAAACAAAACCAAACCAAAACAATAAATAAATAAACTTAAACAAAACAAAACCTGATTAAACTTAAAACAAAACAGATAGAACTAAATTTGAAGCACAGCAAACCTAAACTAACCCTACACTAAACCTAAAACAAAGCCTAAAAACTAAAACAAAACAAAAGCACAGACCCAATGCTTCCCTCACACAACCAACACAGTACAAAACAGATTCTGCCAAAACAATGTGGACAAACCTAATCTTCCTAAAATATAAAATGACTAATTTGGCAAATCCACAAGTCTGCGAGTGCCCATGAAGTGGCCCCAAGACCAGAAACAGCCGAGCCAGATAAGAGACACATCCGAAACATCCACTGCTGATATGGCTGGGAAACACTGTCCTATATAAAGAGCTTCAAAATCAGCAAAGCAATTCATGATGGTGAATTATACATCGCAACCAAATCATCCTGAATATTGGATGACATGACCCAGTCTTACTTCAGAGTGCAGTAAATCACTGGAAAGCACACATCTACCCGTCATATTCACACTAGCACTGCATTTCTAACACCCCAGTAGCTCCTCCTTCTACATCTATAGATCTTACAGTGTGGGAACTAGAGCTGCACGAGACTGGAAAAAACTGGCAATAATGTATTTGTCTGTGATTCATATTGCGAGTTTGATTTTATGAAATGAACAGCTCTAATTGGAAAGGAAGAATTGATGATTTTAGATTGATTAGATGATGTTCAGGGGACTGCATCTGCATATAATGGAATAGACCCAGGGCTTAATTTGTGCCTCATATGCACCCCCGCCCTGCCCTTCACTTTCTTCCACGAATTCCAAACCGTCTTCACTTTCGTCCACGACATCAAGGCACTCCCCCTTGATCTTCACTTTCATCTGCGATATTCAAGTAATGCTACTGCTGTCTACATAAAGACTACCCCCCCCCCTTCATTTTCATCCGCAACACCTCAACCAAACCCCCAACCTGCTTTGCTCGTTTTGCTTATGAAGTGCTTGGCCCCTTCATTGCTGCTTGCAGCTGTGTATTTTTCCAAGTTTAGACAGTACAAAGGCATTGTTGTACACTTCAAAGCTCTACCAAATATTGGATTAGATGAAACAAGAGTCTCAACAGCCTAATAACCAGAAGAATGTTGGTTCGATCTCCATATAGAGCGAGTTTTGGCCTCAAACATCTCTTAATATACGAGACAGACTTAATCTACTTCAGTCTTAGCTATTCAGTTCCACTCACATTGATTAAACTGCAAATCAACAGCTATTGCAAAACATTAATAACAATAACAACTGTGCAAAACAATGTCCTGCACAATAATCCAGAGCAATGGTGTTGCAGTTTAACTTTCTTCGCACAATGGAGAAACTAACCAGTTATTTAGGACTGTTATTCAAACTGAATTGCATATAACAGGGTCCTGGAGGGCCGGTGTCCTGCAGACTTTAGCTCCAACCTCAATCAGAAACACCTGGGCTATCCATCAAGCTCTTATTAGGCTTTCTAGAAACATCCTTGTCAGTGTGTTGAAGCAAGTTGGAGCTAAAATCTGCAGGACACCTCTGGCATATACCCTGTTCAAACCCATACATGCAATGGTAGAGATAGCATTTTGATAAATTAACATTATTTTGGTCTGCAATCAAAATATTGGCAATTAATATAATTAAAGTATACCAATTAAAGTAACCCATGTTCAATTGAACTTTGCACATATAACAGTGTTTTAGTAATTGTGCAATAGAGTCAAGAGCCCTGTCTGAGGGTCAGGGATAATCACAATGTGTGGGAAAACCAGGGACTTCAGCTTTCAGGGAAGAAATAAAGTTACCAAATGCATTAAAATGTTTTTTTTTTATTCTTTTTTTTCTTAAAAGTTCAGCAATGGTGAAATAGCATTGTAAATATGATTAGTTACTGTAGTAGTGGTGGTAAAAGTAGTGCAAACAACAACACAAAATCTTAAAGTCATCGGCCATAGGCAGGTTTAGCAAAAAGTCAGTTTTAGGCCCTGACTAGAACAATCCCAGACTTTCAGTATGAGCACTAGCAATAATAACACTTGCCTTAGTAAACAGCACTAAGACGAAGGTCCGGGAGTGTTTGTGTGTGTGTGTGTGTGTGTGTGTGTGTGTGTGTGTGTGTGTGTGTGTGTGTGTGTGTGCATGTGAGTCAACAGAGCACAACATGAAGGCTTTCTGACACAGTAAACAGATGACAGACTGGGCTGAATGAGGGAAAGCTGGCAGACCTTCAGCCATGTCTGAGAACAGCAGAACTAGCATGTGCTTTAACACCCACAGAGAGCCTGCTGGGATATCACAACCAAACAGTGGACTACAAGTCCTTTAAGGCAAAAACAGTAGAGTACAAGGCCTTTCGGGGTAAAACGTTGGACTACAACACCTTTAGGGCTTCAAACAGTGTACTACAAGGCCTTTCAGGTCTCAAAACAGTGGACTACAAGACCTTTTAGCCTTTAAACACTGGACTACAAGGCCTCTCGGGCTGAAACAGTGGACTATAAGACCTTCCGTGCTTCAAAACATTGAACAACAAGGTAACTTGGGCTAAAACCGTGGACTATAAGACCTTTCTGGCATCAAAACAGTGGACTACAAGGCCTTTGGGTGACAAAACAGTGGACTAAAGGCCTTTCTGGCATCAAAACAGTAGACTATTTGGCCTTTCTGTTTCAAATAGTAGACTACAAGGCCTTTCGGGCTTGAGAACAGTAGACTACAAGGCCTTTTGGACTTCATAACAGTGGACTAAAAGACCTTTAGGCTTTAAAACTATGGCTATTGGCTAAAGTGACACTGAAGTAAAGCAGGGCTAAATGTTTTATTTTCTAAACAAAATAAGAAAGTGTGAAGGGAGCTTTAATCAAAGCAGGAGCTTAATGTTTCAAAAGTACAGTAAGAGTTCATATAATACATGGAGTCACCAAATTCAGGCTAACCTTTGCTCTAAACATGAATTAGGGGAAAGAGCTTTCAGACCAGCCAAAGCCCAGAGAGTGTTTCCTTTAGCAGATGCTCCTGTTATAAGATCAATAACGTCAATATAAATACCCTTAGTCAGAAACATTTATACCATTATCACCCCTAAGAATAAGGGGAATTAAATATGTCCATGCAGCAACACATTTAGGTCAATAAACAAAGGTTTGAATGCACATTCTGGAGACCCAAAATACTTATTCTACATTTGTTAAGAGGCCAAAATTAGAATTTGACCCAGCAGCCATGATTGAAACACTTCTCGGGCATGCAAGTGCAATGTCTTTGAATAGGGAAACATTAAGTGCTCAAATAAACTCAAGCTTACAATTGAATGACATTTTTGAAATCATCAATGAAATTTACCAACAACAGACTTTTTAGTTTTGCATCTAGACAACTGAATACTAAAAATCTGCATTTATGAACTTCCTTCTGCCCTCAAATGAGGACTTTATGTCAAGGTGGACGGCAGCATCTAGTACAAAGATAAATAAGAAACAAATGAATGCACCCCCCCACCCCTCACTGATGCAAACACACAGGGTCAGCCCACATGTGAGTTAGATTAAGCTCATCCTCATCATGTGACCGGAAACTTGTGCTTAAGGCTGTCAGGAGTGTGTTCAGTAGTGCTGCACGATATACAGTTTCAGCATCGATATCGCAGTGTTTGTGTGTGTGTGTGTGTGAGTTTACAACAGTCCCGTCACAAAATGCAATGTAGAGTCCGGATTATAGTTGATCAACAATTGAGAAAACATGAGAGTAGTGGCGTCTAACAGAGAGACACTTTATCATTTGCATGTTTTAAAGGCGGGTTTCAGAGTTTAAAGCATTCGGGGACAGAATAAAACAACATTTGTAACTTTAATGAAGGATAGGGACGGCATGGTGGCTCAGTGGTTAGCACTGTCATAGCAAGAAGGTCGCTAGTTTAAGTCTCGGCTGGGTCAGTTGGTGTTTCTGTGTGGAGTTTGCATGTTGTGTTAGTGTGGGTTTCCCCCAAACACATGTGCTATAGAGGAATTGATCAACTAAATTGGCCGTAGTGTGTGTGTGTGTGTGTGTGTGTGTGTGTGTGTGTGTGTGTGTGTGTGTATGGGTGTTTCCCAGTAATGTGTTGCAGCTGGAAGGGCATCCGCTGTGAAAACCATATGCTGGAGTATGTTCCTCAAGCAGTTTGTGATGCATTGTGGAAACAGGAGACGAGCCCCTGGTCTAATGCGCCACCTGGCTTGAAAAACTCGTTCTCAAAGACTTACTTTTAGTCATTATTTGGATAGCACACATATTCTGAATGCCTTCGGCAGAATTAAAATCAGCCATTTTAATCTAGATTAATTCCAAGATTATAGAGAGATTAATCTAGGTTAGAAAAATTACTCTATCCCCACATATAATATATATATATATATATATATATATATATATATATATATATATATATATATATATATATATATATATAAAAGTTTCATACAGATTTGGTTTTATTTTATATGCGTGTGTATGACATATACATAATATATATGTTTAGTGCACACACATATCTTAGGTTAAACTTTTATTTTTGATGCAATTAGTACATTAAAATCTGCTTTAACTGTAAAAAACATATCAAATAAAACATAAATGACCTACGTCTTAGATGACCTGTCAGCCGAGGGAGGGTTAATATACAGCAAAATGTCATAATGTGATAAATGTCATAATTATTAAAACATACAACCTCTAAAAGAACTAAAACATACTTCAGAGACTAAATAAACAAAACAAAAAAACAAAAACAGTCACCATGTGTGATGTATAAACCTATTTACTTATTACTTTACCACACATGACGTCATGTTGAGTCTCCCAATATTATCTAAAGACAAAAAGCAAGTTAACAGGACACTGTCAGGCCCAGTGTGTGTGTGTGTGTGTGTGTGTGTGTGTGTGTGTGCAGGTGAATGGTTATTTAACACCGGTGATGCTGCAGTCCATTAGCCTGTCCGCTAACCCCCTCAAATGCGCTTTTATATCCCTGTCAAACAAAAAAACCACAGCTCTGTGTGTGTGTTTGTGTATATAACACGGGCTGTGTGTGTTGTGTGTGTGTTTATTAGCAGTGTGAGCCCCGTGATGGTCCTCCTCTTCTTCATGCAGACACTGACATTACCGAATAAAAGCCGCTTCTCACCGGGACAGATGCTTCAGGATCTGCTTCTTAATTATTCCCGCCATCCCGTCAGATGAGCCTCCTGTTCTCCAGCATCTTCAGAAATCTTTCGCTGACACACACACTCTCACGCACGCACACAAACACACACTCACACAAACACACACACCGCTCACGACTGTCTCTTCTGCAGATGATGATGACCGGTTTAGCCCCGCCCACAGACCGGCTGCTTGTCAAAATAAAACACCTCAGAGAGAGGGGATACAGCTGCGGATACGCACTTCAATCATACATTCGTTTAATTTCTGTCGATGTGGTCCCTGATTTATCCAGGGTCGCCACTGCAGAATGAATGGGGGCTTTGGCTAAAACGAGGCTGTCAGTGAAAATCCTATAGATGTCTAAGAAAAGCCCAAAATTAGACTAATCAGAGTACGCAGACTTCACGTGTGCAGTTATTTATTATTGTGTATTTGATGACATTATGTCTAGTTTTGGGCTGTATTTACCAACGTCTATTAGATTTTCACTGACAACCCAAATGTAGCCCTTTGTTTAATGAAGACCAAGTTTAAATGTTCATTAGACATCTATAAGCTATTTACAAGACGTCTATTGGACATCTATTAGACATCTATTAAACGTTTACTAAACATCTACTAGACATCTATTAAACATCTATTAGACATCTATTAGACATCTACTAGACATCTGCTAGACATCTATCAGGCATCTTTTAGATATCTATTAGACATCTATTAAACATCTATTAGACATCTATTAGACATCTTCTAGACATCTGCTAGATCTGCTAGACATCTATCAGGCATCTTTTAGATATCTATTAGACATCTATTAAACATCTACTAGACATCTATTAAACATCTATTAGACATCTGCTAGACATCCATCAGGCATCTTTTAGACATCTATTAAACATCTACTAGACATCTATTAATCATCTGTTAGACACTACTAGACATCTATGAAACATCTACTAGACATATACAAGACATCTTTTAGACAACTATTAGACATCTATTAAACATCTACTAGACATCTACTAGACATCTATTAGACATCTATTAGACATGTACAAGACATCTACTAGACACCTATTAGACATCTGCTAGACATCTACAAGACATCTAATAGACATCTATTAAACATTGATTAGACATTATTAGACATCTAGACATCTAATAATTATCTGTTAGACATGTACTAGACATCTACTAGGCATCTATTAGACATCTATTAGACATCTATTAATCATCTGTTAGACACTACTAGACATCTATGAAACATCTACTAGACATCTTTTAGACATATATTAGAGATCTATTACACATCTATTAAACCTTTACTAGACATCTCTTAGACATCTACAAGACATCTGTTAGACATCTATTAAACATCTGTTAAACCTTTACTAGGCATCTATTAGGCATGTATCAGACATCTATAAGACTATCTTTTAAACACAAAAATGCAGTGTTGCTGTGGTAAAATAGGGGTCTCACAACAAGCATTGATTGTGTTTAAAGATGTCTGATAGATGTCTAATAGGTATCTAAACATTGACATCTTGGCTAAAACAAGGCTAAATTGTTTTTAACTGCATGCTGCTTGAGTATAGTCTTTAAATATGTTTGATATGATTTTTTGAGGGTTGAATAAAGCAGAAAGAAAAAAATTAACAGAGAAAATACAGAACTAACTAACAAACAATCCAGCTAACTATATTAGCTAATTAATTAATTAATTAAAGAATAAACAAGCAAATGGAATTGACGTTTCATGTTTAATTACTTGGTAATTTATATTATCTAATATGTTCAGTTTTCTCACAGAAAGAAGGTCGCTGGTTCGAGTCCCAGCTGGTTCAGTTGGTGTTTCTGTGTGGAGTTTGCATGTTCTCCCTGTGTTGGCGTGGGTTTCCTTCGAGTGCTGCAGTTTCCCCCACAATCTGAACACATACGCTATAGGGGAATTGATTAATTACATTGGCCAAAGTGTGTGTGCAAGAGTGTGTGTGTGTTTTCCAGTACTGGGTTGCAACTGGAAGGGCATCCGTTGCATAAAACATATGCTGGATAGGTTGGCGGTTCATCCCGTTGTGGCGACCCCTGATTAATAAAGGGACTGAGCCGAAAAGAAAGTGAATGAATAAATAAATTAATGTTCAGTTTATTTATTTATTTTTAATTTAGTATTTTTATTTAATGTTTTGGTGAATAATGAAATATTAAACAATATTCATATTAGTGTTTAGTTTTATTAATTTGAATGTGTGTTTCTCCCTTGTTTTATTTGCAACACAATTTATTATGCAGCAAAATAACTTTATTTTACTTAAAATAGTTTTTTACAACCTTTCAAAACTATTTAAATATTTATGAGAACGTGAATATTTTATTATTCATTTTTGTATTTGATTTAAAACATCCTGATTCACAATGACAGAAGTGCAGTTAGGATGCATAGGCACATGCCATGCAATATGTATCAAAGAATTTAATGAATGCAACTTTTACACATTTATTATTGATAAAATGTTTACATTAACGTCATTAAAGTACCGTGATTAAAATGTTAAACCAGACTTTTATTTTGAAAACCTAATAATGTGTTGTCAAAGGAAGTAAAGAACGGATTCTGGCTTCGCGCTTTCTGTTTGACATAAACACACCGATCATCTGATGCTGTCCAATATTAATGTTCATTTTTAACTATTATGTTGCTGTTTAGAAAGTGATACTGAAGGTATGTCACATTTAATTACGTTATGAGTGCGAAAAGCGTATTTATTTAATAAAAGTAGTAGCTGTGAGACTATGACTAGCTAAACAGAAATACAGTAATGTTTAATATCGGAAGGCATTTTATTCTGAACTGTAGATTGAAGGTGTTCTGTTACTGTACTGCTGTATCTAATTAAAGTTGAGTCTTAATGTTATTAATGATTGTCCTATGCTCATTAACATTGTTTTGATGGGGCTGGTTTAATGTGTGTGATACTGTACTGTCAGACTGACCTTTATTATGACATGCAGTGTTTGTTATGATTATCAGACGTCATTAAAACTCTTACATTATATCACAGGGATTCAGAAAAGACTATATTGGGTTTGTTAAAGGGTCAGTTCACCCATAAAATGAACATTACCTCATCATTTACTCTCCCACATACACCTTTACGAGGTTAAACACAAAAGAAGATACTTTGAGGAATGCTGGGTAGTTGGAAAAACAAACAGTATGGATGTCAATGAGGATGTTTTTCTAAATATGTTGTTTTGTGTTTAATAGAAGAAAAAACCACATGAGGCAGAGTAACTGATGAGATAATGTTAACTTCAGGGGTGAACTATGACTTTAACAAACTCAGTCTTTACCGAGTCCCTCTGGAATAATAGTTTTATTGACGAGTCCTAATCATAACAAACACTGCATGTTATAATGAAGGCCAGTCTAACTCAAGTGAAGAGTGAGTGAACGATGACTGAATGATCATTATTGGATGAACTGTCTCTTTAAGATTGGGTTCCTCTGCTGTTTTGTTTTGTGGCAGGCCTCTGAAGAACCCAGAAAATGCCTTATTTTGGGTCGGAGGAGACGGTTAAGGAGCTTAAACGTGCTCTGTCTAATCCTAATGTTCAAGCAGACCGTCTCCGCTACAAGAGCTACATCACTAAAGTCATCAGGTCTGTGAATTTTTACTGTATTTAAACAAAACAGATTTATTAAACAGTAAAATAAGAGTTTGGTCACCAAAAATCATTAGGAATAGAAAGATATTACATTTAAACTAAATCAGTTATTGCAATAACCAAAAAAAATTCAACTAAATTTAATCATTTGAATGTTCCTCCTGATTTTATTTAAGTTTATTGTAATATTTTCCCCCAACATATTAATTTAGGCGTAGTAATCTTTGTACTGTGGTCTTCAGTGTTTTTCTTAGTTGATCAGTTTTGTCTGCACAAATGTATTCCTGTAAAGCATCCTGTAGAGAATATTAATGTAAAACAGCGGTCTGTGAGGGGTCAAACTGTACTTATAAATCATAAAGTGATTTCTGATGTAATGTTATTTGTGTATTTCCTCACAGGTACATGACGCAGGGTCTGGATGTCTCTGCTTTATTCATGGACATGGTGAAAGCCAGTGCCACGGTGGATATTGTTCAGAAGAAACTTGTATATCTGTACATGTGCACCTATGCCAGCGATAAGCCTGACCTGGCTCTGCTGGCCATCAACACACTGAGAAAAGACTGTGCAGATCCCAATCCCATGGTGCGAGGCCTGGCCCTGAGAAACATGTGCAACTTCAGGTGTGTATTGTCTGACTCTTTCGTTGTTTAGACCTATGCTGCGTTCCAATTCACCAACATATACCTAGAACACTGTAATCATTTTAATTGAAGCGCTTAGCAACTACCCAAAAGAATACTTTACACGTACTATTGAGAAACACTATAATCAGTAGCACCTTAGCAACAACCAAGAAGAACACCTTATAAATCACTTAGCAACACCCTAGCAACCATCTAATACTCAGACAATCACCTAGTAACGCCCCTGACCACCTGGAACACCACAATAACATCCAAGCAATGACCTTAACCACTGTACTAGTTACCATTGAAACACTCCAATATGTTGGCAACTACCCAGAACACCTTACACCTACTATTGAGAAAAAAACAACAACAGCCTAGCAATGACTCTGATCAATGTAACTGCTGGCCTTACAACAGTCTAAACAAAGCAACACCCTAGCAACCATCCAAGACACACTGTCAATCACCTAGTAACGCCCCTGACAATCTGGAACACAACAACAACAACGTCCAAGCAATGACTTTAACACTATCAGCTGCCTTTGCAACACTATAATAAGTAGCACCTTAGCAACAACCAAGAAGAACACCTTTTAAATCACTTAGCACTACCCTAGCAACTGTTATGAACACAACTGCTTAGCAACCATCCTAGACATCATAGTAATCATCTCTGGAACAACACTACCACAACATTCAAGCAATGACTCTGAAGAGTGTAACTTCTGGCCTTACAACAGTCTAAACAAAGCAACAGCCTAGCAACCATCTATGACGCACTGTCAATCACCTAGTAATGCCCCTGACAACATGGAACACCACAACAACATCCAAGCAATGACTTTTAACACTTTACCAGTTGCCATTGAAACACTCTAAGTAGCACCTTAGCAACTACCCAGAAGAACACATTATACTTAATACTGAGATAAAAACAACAGCCTAGCAACCATCTAAGACACACTGTCAATCACCTAATAACACCCCTGACAACCTGGAACACCACAACAACAACATCCAATCATTGACCTCTTAACACTCCACCAGTTGTCATTGAAACGCTCTAATAAGTAACACCTTAGCAACTACGAAGAACACTTTATAAATCACTTAGCAACACCCTAGCAACTATTACAAACACAATTGACTAGCAACCATCCTAGACATCATAACAAAGAGCTTAGAATGACCAAGAGGTGACACTCAATAGAACGGTCCATTGCAACACTCTGGATTCCGCCATATTGGAGTGAAAGCGATCGGCCGTCTCTTGAATCTTATTGCTGTCGCAACAGCAAGCAGCTGCTTTATTTTTATTTATTCATTTAAAAAAGCGCATTAAAGCTGAGATACAACCTGAAAGACGACAATACAACACTCACTATCACAATCATCAGCACTTTAATAGTTAATTTTACAGACGTGTAATATGCTGCTGTTCTAGTGGAGTTTTCATTCCAGCCGCTGCGCCATCTAGTGGCTGTTTCCAAAATCGCATTAGAGTGTCGCCTCTTGGTGATTCTATGCTGTTTGATCATAGTAACCATCTCTGGAACAACACTACCTCACCATTCAAGCAATGACAAATGGACAGTGTAAGTGCTGGCTTTACAACACTCTAAACAAAGCAACACCCTGACTTGACCCTTATAAACACACCGCCTGCTGAAAGGTTTGCGATGGCGTTTTCTTTTTATTTCGTGTCCATGATATGCTGTAATATCACAGTGTTTATAAGCACATGTATTCTCATGACAACACTGACATTTTTTTACCAACATATTGTGACCGTGTTGAAATCCAGGTAATGCACATGCCAACAGCGTTTCTGTCTTCTTTGATGAACACTGACAGATCCGCTGTCCTCTGTTTACACTCCATTTTTGGCTTGCTTTTCCAGAATGCCAGGAATGACAGAGTACATAGAGCAGCCCATTGTTGCTGGTCTGCGGGACAAAGCCAGCTACGTAAGGAGAGTCGCTGTGCTTGGCTGTGCCAAAATGCACAGTCTACAGCCCCGCACGGAGATAGGTGACTTTCACCCCTTATTATGATCTGATAATTATTGGTTAATCGATTAAATGATGCAGCATTTTGTTTCTCAGTGTTCTCTTTAAAGGAATGTTTTGGGCTCAGGAGCATCGCATTGATTCTGACCTAATTATGTCTTTCTTTCAACATCACACACTTGCACATGTTTTGGAGAAATCAAACATTTGTATTCAAAGCAAGACAATACAAAGACTGTTTGCTCTATTATTACTGAGGTATTTCCTGTCCTCGGGGCTTTACATGGCCGTAGCGTTTCTACTTTGTTTTGCATTATTGAAAGGCCCTTCCGGTTTGAGGAAGTTTTATTTAAGAGACAGGAAAACATATCTTTGATCTTATGGTTGAGCTACATAACTCGTGATGGCGAAACGACATCAGCAGCCTGACGACACTCTAACAACCTAAACAACAACCCCATAATCACCCAGGACACCCTAGCACCACTTAGCAGTGCCTTAGCAACCAATCGCAACACAAAGCAACAGCCTAGCGACACTAACAAGCAAGGTCTTGTAAAAACCCTTACAATCACCCAGCACCCAGTGGCTGCTATAGACTAGTGACACTCTAACTAGCAACAGCCTAAGTTAAGCAACACTAAGCAATGCCCTAGCAACCACTTTGAGCAAAAACAACAGCCTAGCAACGCTCTCTAACAAGTAACAGTCCAGTAGTAATACAGCACAGAGCAGGAAGGATGTATGCAGTGTGTGACTGTACTGTGTGTGTGTGTGTGTGCGTGTGTGTGTGTGTGTGTGTGCGTGTGTGCGTGTGTGTGTGTGTGTGTGTGTGTGTGTGTGTTTGTGTGTGTGTGTGTGTGTGTGTGTGTGTGTGTGTGTTTATGTGTGTGTGTGTGTGTGTGTGTGTTTATGTGTGTGTTTATGTGTGTGTTTATGTGTGTGTTTGTGTTTGTGTGTGTGTTTCAGATGGCAGTCTAGTGAACGAGCTGTATGCCCTACTGAGGGACCCAGACCCAGTGGTGGTGGTGAACTGTCTGCGGGCCCTGGAGGACATCCTGAAGGATGAGGGCGGAGTGGTTATTAATAAACCCATCGCTCATCACCTGCTCAACAGGTCACACCCCCCACCCCTCCCCTAAAAGGAGAATAACACTAAGTAGTGCATAAAATACATAAACAAATAAGCGTGATATCATAAACTAAAGACTGAAAACAGGTGGATGTACTCGTATTGAATGCTGTTCTGCTGTTTTCTACACTCAGACTGAAGGATCTGGACAGCTGGGCTCAGAGTGAAGTGTTGACGTTCCTGCTCCGCTACCGTCCTCGAAATGACGACGAGCTTTTCGACATCCTCAGCCTGCTGGACCCCTTCCTCCAGAGCAGCCAATCACATGTGGCCATCTCCACGCTCCGCCTCTTCCTCCATCTGGCCGCCGCCCACCCCGCAGTCCAGGCTGACGCCCTGCTGTGCTCCAGTGCGCCCCTGCTGGCCACGTGTGGCGCTGCATCCCGGGAGCTGCGCTTTGCTGGACTGTGCCACATTCAGCAGGTGATGCGCAGTCAGCCGGCCCTATTCAACACACACTACAAGCGCTTCTTCTGCGGGTACTCGGAGCCCAGTTACATTAAATTCAGGAAGATGGAGATCCTGGTGGCGCTGGTGAACGATGAGAACGTGGCGCTGGTGTTGGAGGAGATGAAGAGCTACTGTACTGATGTGTCTGCTGAACTGGCCCAGGCTGCCATCGCCGCTATTGGTGAAGATACACCTCACTGTTAGAGATACCTTTACTTCCTTAGCTGTAACAAGATATTATTATTATCACAGCGGAATGAACCGCCAACTATTCCAGCGTATGTTTTACACTGTGGATGGCCTTCCACCTGCAACCCAGTACTGGGAAACCATATAACCCATATACACCTATTCACACTCATACACTACAGCCAGTTTAGTTGATCAGTTCCCCTATAGTGCATGTGTTTGGACTGGGAAACCGGAGCACCCGGAGGAAACCCATGCCAACACGGGGAGAACATGCAAACTCCACACAGAAACACCAACTGACCCAGCCGAGACTCAAACCAGTGACCTTCATACTGTGAGGCCACAGTGCTAACCACTGAGCCACTGTGCTGCTGTTGTTATCAGTACAGCTGTGTGTTTTCTTATTGCACATGTTTCTTTCTGGTGTCCAGGGCGTATAGGGCGAACATACAGCGAGAAGTGTCTGGATATCCTGACCGGCCTGCTGGCACTGAAGCAGGATCACATCACATCCGGTACGAGAACACACACACCTCTGCATGATTTCTCTTATTGTTCACCCAAACATCATCATTTACACTCCTTCTACTTGTATTAAACCTTTATGAGTTTCTTTCTTCTGTTCAGCACAAATGAAGATATTTTGAAGAATGTTGGAAACCGGTAACCATTGACCTCCATAGTATTTGTTTTGGAAAGTCAGGGGTTACCGGCTTTCAGCATTCTTCAAAATATCTTCATTTGGGTGAACAGGAAAGAAACTCAAAGGACTTGATCTTAGTGTTCCCGGGTAACCATTTACTTCTACAGGATTAGATTAAATAAATTTAGAGTAAATATGGTATTTAAAAGGGGGGGGGGGGGGGATAAATATTCCTTTATTACAGGTATGTCACAAAATAAGTGACAAAATGGTAGTGTATGATACTTGGTAACCATTGACTTCCATAGATTTGTTTTTCCTACTATGCAAGTGAATGGTTACCGGTTTTCAGCATTCTTCAAAATATCTTCTTTAGTGTTCAACAGGAGAAAGTAGCTAATTAAAAGGGAGGAAGGCGGGGAGGGGCGGTCAACTATTGCATTATTAAATTACAAAATAAGTGACAAAGCAGTCCAGTTAATAACATTTCAGTTTTTCATCTTTTCTGAGAGGGGTCTTGCTGCAGACTCGGTACAGTGCAGTCTGAGCTGCATCCAATGCTTTTTAATGAGCTCACCTAACCCTACCCGTCACAGTGACGTCACTCACTGCATTGAGTGCATTGTGTCTGACATTGCATCGCTGAGTGATGCAGTCTCAGCTTGCATCATAAAGGCTGCATCCAGATACTATTGCCTTTTCTTCCCGGTGGATGTACTCTTAGTGTTACTGGGTAACCATTGACTTCCACAGCATTTGTTTTTCCCATTAGGGAAGTCAATGATTAACAGTTTTCAGCATTCTTCAAAATATCTTCATTTGTGTTTAACAAAAAAGCAGCTCATAAAGGTTTAAAACCCTTTGAGGGAGAGTAAATAAAGAGTAAATGTTCTTATTTGGGTGAACTGTCCCTTTAATAAGTGACAAAATTGTACTGTGTGTTACTGGGTAACCATTGAATTCCACTGTATTTGTTTTTCTTACTATGCAACTCAATGGTTAATGGTTACTGGTAGTGTTTAACAAAATAAAGAAACCCATGAAGGTTTAAAACCACTTGAGGGAGAGTAAATATGATTTTTAAGGGGGGGGGGGTAATAAATATTCCTTTATTACAGGTATGTCACAAAATAAGTGACAAAATGGTAGTGTATGTTACTGGGTAACCATTGACTTCCATAGATTTGTTTTTCCTACTATGCAAATGAATGGTTACCGGTTTTCAGCATTCTTCAAAGTATCTTCTTTAGTGTTCAACAGGTGAAAGAAACTCAAAAGTTTATAACTGTTGAAGGAGAGTAAATAGAGAGGAAATATTTATTTTTGGGTGAACTGACCCTTTAATAAGTTACTAAATAAGTGACAAAACGGTAATAACGTTTCAGTATTTTCTTCTACTTCCCTGGAGGATGTACTGTGTGTGTGTTACTGGGTAACCATTGATCTCCACAGTATTTGTTTTTCCTATTATTGAAGTCAGCGATTACATTCTTCAAAATGTCTTCATTTGTGTTTAACAAAAAAGAAACTCATTAAGGTTAAGGAGAGTAAATAAAGAGTTCATTTTCTTATTGGGTGAACTGCCCCTTTAATAAGTGACAAAATAGTCCTGTGTGTTACTGGGTAACCATTCACTTCCACACTGTTTGTTTTCCCTACTATACAATTCAATGGTTACCGGTTTCCAACATTCTTCAAAATATCTTCTGTAGTGTTTAACAAAAGAAAGAAACCCACAAAGGTTTAAAACCACTTGAGGAAGAGTAAATAAGGAGATATTTTTTATTTTTTGGTGAACTATTCCTTTATTAAATTACAAAACAAGTGACAAAACAGTCCAGTTAATGACATTTCAGTTTTTTCTGCTTCTTCCGGAAGGAACTGTACTCTCAGCGTTACTCATAAAGGTTTAAAAACACTTGAGGGAGAATATATGAAGAGTAATTCCTCATTTTTGGCAAATCTGAGCCTTTATTAAGTAGATGAGGGACAAAACGGTTCACTTAATGACATCTCTTTTTTTCTTCTTCTTCCTAATGGACGTACAGTGTGTGTGCATGTTTTACTGTTTGCTTTCCACAGACCTCTTTCTGCCTGGATGCAGGCTTTGTTTGCTAACAGACATTATAAGCTGACAGTATGGTCTGCTGCTTCTCTCTCTCTGTATGTGTGTGTGCGCGTGTGTGTGTGTGTGTGTGTGTGTTTAGCCGTGATCCAGACCTTCAGGGATCTGGTGTGGTTCTGTCCTCAGTGTACAGCCGCTGTGTGCCTCACTGTCGAGTCCTGTGTGGATTATCCTCAGGATAGTGAGGTGAGGACATCATTTATTATCATTCAGATGATTTTATTTACTCTAAAACAAGCACGTTTTCTGTTCACACTCGCATTCATACAGTCAAGCCCGAAATTATTCAAGTCCTCTGGCAAATTCAGATTTAAAGTCACTGTTATTCAACCAGCATGCTTTTTTTGACTGTAGTTGAGACAGGCTTCTCCCAGGGCTTCACTAGGGTAATTAGGGTAAAGTTAGGGTAATTAGGCAAGTCATTGTATAACAGTGGTTTGTTCTGGAGACAATCCAACACTAATATTGCTGAAGGGGTGAATAATATTGAGCTTAACATGGCTTTAAAACCGCTTTCATTCTAGCCGAAATAAAACAAATATGACTATCTCTAGAAGGACCAATATTAGAGGAAATATTTTTGAAAATATAATGTTTTTGTCAGCGCAATAGCCTAGTGGTTAGTGCGCCGACATATGGTGCAATAGCACGTCAGGGCGTCGCGAGTTTGAATCCCGGCTCGAGGACATTTCCTTACCCCCCCTCTCTCTCTCTCCCACTTTGCTTCCTGTCTTAATACTGTCCTATCTAATAAAGGCAAAAAAGGCCAAAAATAAATCTTTAAAAAAAAATATATATATACAATGTTTTTGAAACAACTTTATGAAATGATATAATGTTTTATTTTAATAATTTATGTGCATGTAAACGCTGCAAAATGTGTCCCACAAACTCAACTGACAGGCACACAATTAAAAAAAATACATAAATAATGTAAATAAAAATAAATAACAACACTGATGTGCTTTTAATCAATGACTGCACTTTATCTATCTGTCTTTCAGTCTGTCTGTCTACAGGTTTAGCATTTTTAAGTATGCTATACTTCACGCTAATATGCTCGCATTATGTTTAATGTTTGCATTTTAAATAGACTCTACAGTAATTTAGCCTAAAGTTTTCTTTTGCTAAACATTTATAAAAATAAAAAAAGGTCAAATGTGGAGAATGCAAACACGATTAATTAATTAAATTGCATATATCTGACTTTTAGCTTCTGTCTATACAACAAAAGTGCCTCATAAATAAACTGTGGACCAGCCCTTAGTTAATGCAACATGAACTAACAATGAACAGCTGTGTCTTCCTTAATGTAGTGTTCATTGTTTGTTCACGTTAGTAAACGCATTAACCAATACAACCTCATTGCAAGTAAACTATGCAATTCAATGGTTACCGGTTTCCAACATTCTTCAAAATATCTTCTGTAGTGTTTAACAAAAAAGCAGCTCATAAAGATGAGAAAGATGAGACTACATGAGGGAGAGTAAATAAAAAGTAGATTTTAACTTTCGGGTGAACTGTCCCTTTAATAAGTTACAAAATAGTAATGTGTGCTACTGGGTAACTATTGACTTCTGCAGTATTTGTTTTTCCTACTATGGAAGTCAATGGTTACCGGATTTCAGCATTTTTCAAAATATCTTCTGTAGTGTTTAACAGGTGAAAGAAACTCATAAAGGTTTAAAAGCACTTGAGGGAGAGTAAATACGGAGAAATTTCCACCATTTCTGGGTGAACTATTCCTTTAGTAAGTTAGAAACAAAGGAGTGACAAAACACTCTAGTTAACAACCTCATTGTAAATAAATACAGAAAATAATGAAATCACAAAACAAGAATAAAGAAATCAGAGTTTTGCAGTGTACATATAGATAGTACTGTATCTTTAAATAAAAACATGCTCATTTACTACGATTTTCCACACCCTGAAAACACAGCAGTGTCATGCACAGTAAATAACCTGCCTAACTGCATGAAAAATACAGCATTCTGTAGATGTGATGGTGTAAATGTGCCCCTCACACATCATCAAAACACACATCTATCACTCGGAGCCTTCAGTAGATTATCAGGTCAGATTCTGCACATGCAGCTTAATCAACTTCCGCTGGAGGGAAACAGATGCCTCAGATTAGCTGTAGAGAACACGATGAGCAGCCTATCAGACATGTCTGCAGAATAGTCATTTAAGCCAAAGCAGAAACCCAAACATGACTAAATGTCTACCAAATTTAAATAATCTGACCATAAATGCTCTGCAAAACACTTCAGATCATCAGAGAGTAGCAGTGTATGAATGCAAATAGCAGAACGTTATCATCTAAATCAGGAAAAGTGCATTCATCCATTCATTCATCCATTCATTCATTCATTCATTCATTTTCCCTTGGCCTAGTCTCTTAATTATCAGGGATCACCACAGTGGAATGAACCGTTAACGATTCTAGCATATGTTTTACTTCCAGCTGCAATCCAGCACTGGGAAACACCCATACACACTCATTCTCACACACAAACACACACTCATACATTACGGCCAGTGTAGTTGATCAGTTCCCCTATAGTGCATGTGTTTGGACTGTGGGGGCAACCGGAGCACCCGGGTACTTTAATATAGGCAGTAGTTCAGAGCCGTGAGCTGAACTGAAGGGTCAGGGTGAGAGTGAGTGAGATGTATTGTTGTGCTTGTCAGGGAAAGCAGGCTCTGTTGTGGCTGCTGGGCGAGCATGCGGATCAGATCAGCAGCGCCCCCTATCTGCTGGAGGTCTACATCGACGGGCTGAAGACGGAGCTGTCTGCGCCGCTGAAGATGGAGATACTGACCGCAGCACTCAAGATGTTCCTGAGACGCCCTGCTGAGACACAAGACATGCTGGGCCGTCTGCTGCACTACTGCATAGGTGATAGAGGACGACATGTCTGTCTGTCTGTCAGTGTGTGTGTGTGTGTGTGTGTGTGTGTGTGTGTGTGTGTGTGTGTGTCTCTCTGCCTGTGTCTGTCTGTCTGTCTCTGTGTGTCTGTTGTTCTGCCTTTGTCTGTCTGTCTGTCTGTTATTCTGTCTATCTTTGCCTGTTTGTCTGTTGTTCTGTCTGTCTGTGTTTGTTGTTCTGTCTGTGTCTGTTGTTCTGTCTGTCTCTCTGTCTGTCTGTTGTTCTGTCTGTCTGTCTGTCTGTCTGTCTGTCTGTCTGTGGCTGTTTTTCTGTCTGTCTGTGTTTGTTGTTCTATCTATCTGTCTGTCGTTCTGTTTGTGTCTGTTGTTCTGTCTGTCTGTCTGTCTGTCTGTCTGTCTGTCTGTCTGTCTGTCTGTCTGTCTGTCTGTCTGTGTCTGTTGTTTTGTCTGTCTGTCTGTCGTTCTGTCTGTGGCTGTTGTTCTGTCTGTCTGTCTGTCTGTCTGTGGCTGTTTTTCTGTCTGTCTGTGTCTGTTGTTTTGTCTGTCTGTCTGTCGTTCTGTCTGTGGCTGTTGTTCTGTCTGTCTGTGTCTGTTGTTTTGTCTGTTTATGTCTGTTGCTTTATCTGTCCGTGTCTGTCCATGTCTGTTGTTCTGTTTGTGTCTGTTGTTCTGACTGTATGTCTGTCTGTATGTCATTCTGTATGTCGTTCTGTCTGTCTGTCGTTCTGTCTGTCTGTTGTTCTGTCTTTATGTTGTTCTCTGTTTGTGTATTTCTGTCTGTTGGTGTTTGTTGTTTTGTCTGTCTCTGTCTCTCTATGTCTGTTCTGTCCTTGTCTGTCTGTCTGTCTGTCTGTCTGTGCACATTGATTTGAATCTTCACAGCAGGCGCATTAGATTCAGTATGTTCCCTATACATATAGTGTGTGTGTGTGTGTGTGTGTATGTGTGTCTTCAGAGGAGGAGAGCGACATGTGTGTGCGAGACCGGGCTCTGCTGTACTACAGGCTTCTTCAGCGGGGTATTGAAGAGACGAGGAAGGTTGTGACGGGCCCTAAATCAGACCCATCTCTGAGTGTCCTTACTAGTGCACAAGAGGAGCCCGTCAGTCAGTGGGTCTCTATTTTCAACACACTCGGCCCTCTGTCTGCAGCAGACCTACAGCTCCACAACACTGCTCTATCAGCATCAGAACACACCGACGACACTGCAGACACTGAGCTGCTCACAGGTACCAAGCAGAAACACTTTGATTGACATTCTCCCTTTGTACGTGTCATCAGAGGGGGAAAGCCCCGCCCACTAGTGCCCATCTCTCCATCTCATTAGCATAAACAGCAGGCCTGAGTGAGAAGCAGCCGTCTGTCCATTAGCCATTAGAGTGTTTGAATCGGCCACTATGCTGACACACAGGTGTCTGTAGCTCCGCCCTCTTCTGAAAAGAGCACAATCTCATTTGCATTTAAAGCGACAGTCACCAAAACACCACAATCAGGATCAAAGCCTGAAAGGGTCAGTTTTAGAGAGCTGGAAAACATCATCTGTGTGTATTCTCAGCTCAAACACACACACACACACACACACACACTCTAGAGACAGCAGAGTCGCATTTACATTCTCAACCCACCCTGCACATTCCCCTTTAATCTTTCATCTCTGGTTTTGAAAGTGCTGAATAAGAGCGTAACGCTGTACTCCACCATTGTGTCTCTGCCTGCCAGAACACGTCCCCGTCTCCATGCGGGACGTCTCAGAAGCAGGTGTCAGCCTGTGTGCGGGTGCTGCTGTGTCCCCCGAGGCGTTTGAGCAGATGTGGCAGCAGCTGGAGGTCCTGCAGCGTCAGACGGTGTGTTTCTCTGGATGCGCAGCGGACACACTTCAGAGCGCCCTGCAGCCGGTGCACATCCAGACTCTGGCCTTCAGCCCGGCCCGCGCGCTACCCTGGAGGGCCTACATCTATAGCAGGGGCTCCGGGACGCTCGTCCTAGCTGAACTGCTGCAGGATGACCCGGAGATGCTGACGGTGACTGTAAAACAGCAGCCCGAACACCAGCAGACCGTCACTGCATTCATCAGTGTGTTGCAGAGCGTCCTGCAGACTCTCAATACAGGACAAATGAGTGTTTAAATGATTTGCTGTGGTGCTACACTAATAAAAGAAGTCAACCTTTGGATCAACTTGTACTGTAGGGATCAGGGTGATAACAGGGGTCGGATCTAGATTCAGTTTAATTAAAGGTGCAGTAAGTTTGACACCCAGTGGTTGAAGTAGGTATTGCACGTCTGGTTCAACACACACACAAGTGCAGGTTGCCAGATTGACAACACCAACAGGAGCCTGACTATCAAGCCTAAAGGCTGATTTAAGGCTGACTTAAAGGGCACCTATGGTGGAAAATCTCCTTTTCCAGCTGTTTGGACAGACGTGTGTGCAGGTATAGTGTATAGACCGTCATATTGGGCTGATATAAGCACACACAGTCCTTTTTTTTCAGTTTAACAACATAAAAACGGTGGACTAATTGGAGCGGTTTTGAGACTGACTACAACTTGATTAACTATTTTTGGATGTAAGGCTCACTGGGCTCAACACATCGAATGAGCAACAGAGATTTTACATTTAGCAGCCATTTAAACTGAACACGCAGTGAATGCAATGTATCGAGATTTGGGCCATTAAACAGCTGATCCACCGAGTCTTTCAGCACACAGAAAACACTCGACTGATCTCGGCTGGCGGATCAACATTCACCACATGATCGCTCGCATCGGCGCCATTATTTGTAACTTTAGGAGGGTTTGCAAACCTGTGTACTCTTCATTGCATTTTCCTTGGGTGATCTGGAATTGGTGTGTGTGTGAGGTGCATGATGGGAAATGTAGTTCAGTTCAGTGGTAGTTGTGTGGTTGATGGTGTTTTCCTGCAATCTGCAAAGGATAGATCATTGGTGATCGTGACAGTTACACCTAAAATAAGTTTTTTTACCCAGAAATAATTTATTATTATTATTATTATTATTTAATACTATTATTATTATTACTATTATTTTAATTATTATTATTATTATTACTACTATTAATATTATTAATAATAATTTTATTACTATTATTATTATTATTATTATTATTAATTTTATTACTATTATTATTATTATTATTATATTACTAATATATTATTATTATTATTAATTGTATTACTATTATTATTATTATTATTATTACTATTATTATTAATTTTATTACTATTATTATTATTGTATTATTATTACTAATATTTTTATTATTATTATTACTATTAATATTAGTATTATTACTACTATTATTATTACTACTATTATTATTATTATTATTATTATTACTATTATTATTATTATTATTAATTTTATTATTATTATTACTATTATTATTAGTATTATTATGGTTATTATTATTAGTATTATTATTATTAATAATTTTATTACTATTATTATTAGTATTATATTATTTTTATTACTATTATTATTAGTATTATTGTTATTACTAGTAATATTATTATTATTATTCATATTATTATTATTATTAAAATTCTGCCTAAAAGACAGCACAGCATCACTACATTCATCTGTGTGCTGCAGAGCCTCCTGCAGATTTTCAACACGAGATATAGATGAAGATACACCAGTGTTCAAATACTGTGTTGTTTCTTTTGTTCATCTAAACCATATGCTGGATAAGTTGGCGGTTCATTCTGCTGTGGCGACCCTGGATTAATAAAGGGACTAGGCTGAAAAGAAAACGAATGAATGAATAAACATGGGACGCATGTGAAGTTCACTATATTGCTTATTTAGATTGTTTAATCTATGGAACGCACATGAAGATACATAAGCGTTCAACTATTGTGTTGTTTACTTCGAGCAGGGGTGCTCAAACTCTGTCCTGGAGGGCCGGTGTCCTGCATAGTTTAGTTTCAGCCCAATCAGACACACCTGAACCAGCTAATCAAGCTCTTACTAGGTACAATAGAAACTTTCAGGCAGGTGTGGTGAAGGAAGTTGGAGCTAAACTATGCAGGACACCGGCCCTCCAGGACTGAGTTTAGACACCCCTGACTGAGATAAATTGTTGGTTTAGATTGTCTAAGCTAAGAGACGCCCTTGAAGACACACAAGTGTTTAACTGTTGTATTGTTTGCTGAGATCGTCTAATGGTGTTTCAACAAAAACATTTGAACATATGCACTAAATAATGTCAATATTATGCATAAAATCCCATTTATATTCACGACATGTGTCATATCATGATTATAAAGGTGTCTTATGAACACCCCTTTCAAGTAAAGAGTCGGCAAACTGTAAAATTGATCTCTTCATGTTTGTTTATTAATGAATGATTCAGACAATAAACATGTGCATGCTTTCATTTAGCATCTCATGCATGTTTCTCCATGTTGAAATAATGTCAACATGCAGTCGTGTCATGGATATGGTCATTTTGAGATGACGTGACAAGTTGTTTACTTATTCTGAAATATTTGTTTGTGTCTCAATGCCCTAAAGGTGTGCTCACAGCATGTGTTTTCATCACAGTTACTGGAATTACAAGACTCTGACTAGATTTTGACTAGAGTTGTCAGCTCAAGTGTCATCAGTCTTTTTCTGGTGATGCTACTGTTACTAGCGCTCTTTGTGCAAGGAAGACTTGGGTTGTTGCTAGAAGGGATACAGCTGTGGCTAAACGTTAACGAGAATGTAATACATATTCATTTTCTTTTCAGCTTAGTCTCTTTATTAATCCGGGGTCGCCACTGTGGAATGAACCACCAACTATTCCAGCAAATGTTTTACACAGCGGATGCCCTTCCAGCTGCAACCCAATACTGGGAAACACCCATACACACTCATACACTACAGCCAGTTTAGTTGATCAGTTCCGCTATAGTGCATGTGTTTGGACTGTGGGGGAAACCGGAGCACCCGGAGGAAACCTGGGGAGAACATGCAAACTCCACACAAACGCCAACTGACCCAGCTGAGACTGGAACCAGTGACCTTCTTGCTGTGATGCCACAGTCGTAACCACTGAGCCACTGTCACCAATAATATTTTTAATAGCAGTAAATAATTATTAGCTATATATATATATATATATATATATATATATATATATATATATATATATATATATATATTGTATTCACCAGCCAATATCAAGCAATATCAAGTGCAAACTTACGCCCTTGAGATAGATAGATAGATCTTTTTTTTCGGTTATTGTGGTTTTCAGTTTAAGTGCTCGCCAAAAGAGGTGTGCCCACACACACACACACACACACACACACACACAGCCAATAGTCTGCAATGGTGTACTAAACCCACACCCGTTTGAAACCTGTAGTCTTTCCATTTCGCGATTTCAACCTGCCCTTGACAAGGAAACAACTCTCGCCACAGTCCAACCTTTGCTCGGCTAACATATAAACTTCCCCCAGAGCAGAAGTGTTTAAAGAGGAACATCACTGCTGCTCAAATCTCCACTCAGGGGCATACAGAGCTTTAAAGCGACTGAAGGACAGCAGACAGAGAAGTACAGCCGCCAGACACGCGCGTCGGTCTCTCTCAGTCCGCTGTGAATGTGGAGCGCACACGGCTGCAGCTGATACTAAGGTGAGCGGGACTCCTGCATTACTGTCAACTGTGTGGAAATATACTCGTATATGCCATATCCAGGCGGATGGTTTTCGAAAATAGGCTATCTATGCACTTTTTAATATGTGTAAAGCGAGTCTAAACCGTTTAAATGGAAAATACCCGCGTATTGTGTTCGCTACAAACTTCTAATATAGTATTTCCAACGCGAATTTGACATTTTTGTTAGTTTTATATCGACAAACAAATCAAGACTACGTGAGATAAGTACTAACTTACGTCACTCTCAGAAATAAAGCTATACGCGAATGCTCTCTGGGGTGGTGCCTTTTCAAAAGGTACAAATGTGTACCTAAAAGGTCCATATCAATACCTCATAGGTACATATTGGTACCTAAAAAGTACAAAAGTGTTCCTCTTAAATATTTTAGGTACTAATGTACACTTTTGAGGTACCAATATGAACCCTTTAAGCACAAAACCCCAGTGACAGCTCGCATATTTCTGAGAGTGTATGAATGTTCAGTTTGTCACTCTTTCGGGAAGGCAGCCACTCTTGATATACCTGTGTATATTTCATACATTTACTCATTCATTCATTTCCTTTTTGGCTTAGTCTCTTTTTTAATCTGGGGTTGCCACAGTGGAATGAACCGCCAACTTATCCAGCATATGTTTTATGCAGCTGATGCCCTTCCAGCTGCAACCCATCACTGGGAAATCAGATATATATATATATATATAATCAAGATTTTCTCAGATATATGCATGCCTGTCTGTGTTTATATACATAATAAATACACACAGCACACACGCATATATTATCCTAAAACAAACATGTATTTTATATATGATCTGTCATACTGTTGACGCTGCTTCTGTAAACATTGTAGTGTATTTTCAGAGCTTCATTAGGATTAGTTTATCCAAAATTGTATTTTTTTTTTACTATTTACTCTCCCTCAAGTGAATCCAAACCTTTATGAGTTTCAACACAAAAGAAGATATTTTGTAAAATGTTAAAAACCAGTAACCATTGACTTACATTGTAGGAAAAATAAATACGTCAATCAGGTTTTCAACATTTTTATCTTTTTTTTTCCGCTGTTAAACAGAAATAAGAAAAACACTTTAGGGTTTGGACGGGTGAGTAAATGCTGATGGAATTCTGTGGTTGAACTATCACTTAAACAGGAGTAGATAACGCTGGAAAGATAATGCGTCAAGTTTTATCACAGCTGTCAGTGCATGGAGACGGTTGCAGCACTAAACCTTTATCACAACACTGCTGTAAAACAGTCACAGCAGAACATTTATATCAATATTTGTATGTCCAGAGGTACACATGTCCCCGTGTTGGTGTGGGTTTCCTCCGGGTGCTCCGGTTTCCCCCACAGTCCAAACACATGCGCTATAGGGGAACTGATCAACTACACTGGCCGTAGTGTATGAGTGTGTGTGTGTGTGTGTGTGTGTGTGTGTGTGTGTGTGTGTGTGTGTGTGTGTGTGTGTGTGTGTGTGTGTGTGTGTGTGTGTGTGTGAATGGGTGTTTCCCTGTACTGGGTTTGCGACAGGATGGGCATTTGCTGTGTAAACCATATGCTGGAATAGTTGGCGGTTCATTCCACTGTGGTGACCGCTGATAAATAAAGGGACTAAGCCGAAGGAAAATGAATGAATGAAAGATTTAATTATTATAATAATTATTATTATATATATATATTTATATATATATATATATAATTTATTATTATTAAAATATATTATTTCACACTTTAAATGTCACTCATAGAATAAAAAGCCACAAAACAACGTTAAAGAATTACTTGATTAACTTTTAATCAGTGTTGCGACTATTTGTTGTGTTGTGTGTGTTCAAGTGTGATCAGACCCTATATTAAACATCAGTGTTTGCTTTCCAGTACGGTTATGAGAAAGCCCTAGCAAATATGATGATAAACAATGCAAACGATCTTCTTTAAATGTTCCTAAAGAATAAGGCCAACAATTCTGTGTATTTTAGTCCTGTCAAGCAATGGTCAGATCAAAACTAATGTCACCCTGCAAAACCTGATAGAGGCTCATAAACAAAACCATCACCCCAACCTGTTTGAATTGCAAATTTACTTAATTTAAAGCAGCATTTTAAGGTCACACACACACACACACACACACACACACACACACACACACACACCGACATATTCAGCTGATCTGAAACCCGTTTGCCCAGCTTACACTCTCATTCTATGATTTGTTTACTCAGTCATTCAGAAATATGATGTATCTTTAACCAGGTGTGTTTTCATGCACAGAGGCAAAGTTCAGCTCATGAGGAAACGCTCCACGCTTTCTAGCTCTCCAGAGCCGCTGCTGTTAACACACAATGACAAACGGCTACTCTCTGCTGGACATTTCATGATTGCTTTGCAACGCAGTCAGCTGACTCTCTTACATCACATTTCTGTTTAAGGGAACTTTCAGAGATTGTGTTGTGTTGTTTTTGCACTTGAGGAACTGTGTGACACTCTAAATATGGGGTTAAACTGAAATATAATTTTATAGGTATAACAGAGTCTTGGATATGTGTATGAGCAATCTCACATGAGTAGCAGTGCGTTGTGGCTGTATATCAGCACTGGTGAAAGGTGTGTGTTGCTGGCAGCAGGCCAAGTGTCTTAGTTCCCCAGCAGTGCTGATATACAGCCATATGGCACTGCTATGAGTGTGATATTGTGTTTATACAACAGTTTGATGGGATAATCGTGTATATAAAAAAGAAAATCAAACATGGAGAGTCTCTAAACCTTTTTGTATAAGGAACTACTTTCTTCCGCCACTCATTCACATCTGCAGCTGACGTCATAATATGGAGCTATTAACATGCCAAAATTATCTGAATTTGTGTTAATTTGAATTATTGACAATTGTACTTTAATCAAGCTGAATATTCTAATGCTATTAAAATGTTTTGAATTTGAATTTCTTAGTTTGAATTTGATAACCTGAATATTGAATATTATTATTATTATTATTTTCAAACTTCAGATTTTTTTGTGTTCTGAATTCACAGACTGCAGATATCCAGCTTGTCGTAATACAGTTGCGAGTTTTATGAAATTCAAGTTATGAAATTCTAATTTAAATTAATAAATTCAATGTCAAAACAATTTTAACAGCATATAAAAAGTCAGATTTATTCAATTACCATTGTCAATAATTCACATTAACACAATTCAAATTCAGATTGTTTTTGGCATATTATTAGCTCCATATTAGAACAGCAGAAACCGCTGCTCATTCAGCAGTGTCACTGTAGAGCTAGTGTTTGAATGATTCTCTAGCGTGATGTCTAAAGTGAAAACAATACCTATTTATAGCGATTATAAGGGCTGAACAGCATGAAATGCCATCAGTCTACAGAGATTTCCCAGTGTTTCTCTGCTGCAATCGGGATATCACAATGACGCCAAAGCAGCTCAATCACTAGCAGATTACTGTTGTGTTTGTGGTAAGGAGAAACGCTAAACACATGCGGGCATTTCTTCTGTCTTTCTGTTTACTGAACTAGTCTGCAGTAGCGAAAACAGGAGACTTATAGAAACAAACAGACGGCCAACTAAAAAGTAACTTAGGATTATATACATTCCTAATATGTCCCATCTCACGCTCAATACATTACAATTATTAGATTAAATTCAACTTTATTGTCATTACACATGTTCGAAATTACACTGTTTTTGTCCTCTAAGGGCTTATTATGCGGTCTTGTGAATGAACAACGTCAGCCGTCTTTGCTCTGCTTAGTATGACAGGCTAATGGCCGCCATCTCGCCGTCTCTCTGAAGTTATAAATATTTAAAATAGGCACTATCCTTATAAATAAACTGCATAGCTGCAATCTAAACAACGACATTCTCACATAAAAAAGCCTCAAAAGAACATGATGTTGTCCAACAGCTGCAATATTTGGCTGTAGAGAGTCCTCTGCTTGTTGATGTATGAAGGCGGAGTAATACACAAGGGTGAAGAGGCTGGATGAGTGCTGTTATTGCAGAATATTGCATGGCTATTAGCCAATCAGATTCAAGAACCAGACTGAACTTTTGTGTAAATATATATATGGTTGACAAAATTATTATTATTTTTTAGTTTCAAATATTTCCCGAAGCCTGTTTAACTTTTTCAAGGTTTTTTTAAACACATTTTAAACATAATAACTAATAATAAATCTTGTGTTTCCTCTTCTCCATGATGACAGCACATAATATTAGACTAGATATTCTTCAAGACACTAGTGTTCAGCTTACAGTGACATGTAAAGGCTTCACTAGGGTAATTAGGGTAAAGTTAGGGTAATTAGGCAAGTCATTGTAAAACAGTGGTTTGTTCTAGAGACAATTGAAAACAAAATTAATAATATTGATGGTAAAAATTATTTTCAAAAATGTAAAAACTGCTTAATTTCCAGCCAAACTAAAAGAAATAAGTTTTCCCTGAAGTTTAATGTTATAGGAATTACTGTGAAAATGCTCTGTTAAACATCACATCGGAAATATTTGAAAAATATTACAATTTTAATCATAATTTTGCCTAATTGTATTAAATAAGGCAAAGGAATTAGGGTTGATTTTTGTATTTGTTTATTACAATAATAATATATTACTTTTACAATAATTCCTGTATTTATTTTTACATCATACTGTTCAGAACTGACCATACCGTCTCTTATTTTTAATAAGCACATTTCTCAATATGGGGCAATAGGCTCTATGCACAGCTAGAGTTTTAAAGCAACAATAAACCTCCAGTGAAAGCTTAATGTGACTATTTTCTATTACACAAGGTTGTTTTTCCAGCATGCTATAGAAGTAAATGGTTACCGGTTTTTCAGCATTCTTCAAAATATCTTCTTTTGTGTTCAACAGCAGAAAGAAACTCAGGTTTGTAACGACTCCAGGCAGAGTAGATAGTGAGTAAAGGAGTGAACCGCCGCTTTAATAGATCATCTTTTTCCC